ATAAGACGTTGAAGAGGAGTAGATGATAGGTATTTAAAGATTTGTCCCATTCATTATTGCAGGCAGCGTACCGGAATGACATAGTCCTTGAGAATGGCGACATAAGTACTATGCGGTAGCAATTTTATTTTCTGATACCCAGATTGTTTCTCATTCCAATTACATAAAAAAAACTTATAGTATGTAAATTTTGCGAAGTTGTGCGGGTTAGTTAGAATATATAAAAGTGAAATAATAATATGTATGTATAAATAATTAATGAAATGCTTGTGAAGAATTATTTTGGGAAGTAGGTAATAATAATATTTTTTATTCAGATTATATTTATACCTATTTTTAAGTTTTGCATTTTTTATTTTATATTTTTGACGGCCTCGGTGTTCTAGTGGTTACTTCCGATGGTCGCGGGATCGATTCCTCGCACGGCACAAATATTTATATTTATGCGCATGATTGTTTATATCGATCTGGGTGTTTTCTATGTATAATATGTATGTATTTACGAAAAAAAAATACATCAATGTATTTCTATCAGTTATCTAGTACCTATAACAGAAGCTTTAGCTAGCTTAACTTGGGTCTGATGGCGCTCTGTGTATTCTCCTGTGATTATAGATTATTATTATTGTTCTTTATATAAATATATATTAGTCATTGAGGATGAAAATCACCAAACAATAACAACTATAAAAGAAATGATGATGACGATGTATTATTATGATATTATTGTGGTACATTATTATAATATAACTATAACTAACAGATGTCGAGATATCCTGTAAGGCAATCGATCAATTGATACGCTCACGCTACTTTTATGGTATGGTAGAACGAAATCGATATACTGCGTCTCGCGGCTACACTTGATTTAAAACTATGAATAAGGGTGAACGCAGTCTAACGAAATCGTCCGGTGAAGCTGTGAAGCTGTAAAGTTGCGGCCAACAGCATTTAGTTCGAAAAAAAAAACCAACGACTATTTTAGAATTTTATTCTTTACTTTACATAGTTGTTACTTGCGTGGTTTTGATAGCTCTAGAGGTCCGAAGATACTTAATAGAAGAAGAATATATACATTTTATCAAAAGTTAATGTATAATAACATGTTGTAAGACATATAATCAATATATTAATACAATGAAGCAAAAACCTTTTTTCTGAAAATTGCGCGAATGGAACAGAATGAAATTTCGCACACTTATAGATGTAATATTATGTTATCTGTGCTTATAGTTTATACAGAGGGAGGTCCCTCCCTCCCTCTGTATAAACTAGGACATATAACGTTACGCATACTACCATGTATCTGACACAGACGCATAAAAGTATAGTCTTTGACAATAGAACCAAATAATGTTCAAACTTATAATCTAAATTAATTATGGTCCAATTATATTTTTAAGAAAAAAATAAAGTTGTTCAGAATGATGTTTTTGAGAATTTTGTGTGAACACAAACTGCCATATTTGCTATATAGCAGTTTAAATTCACACAAAAATATAATTCTGAACAACTTAATTCTTCGATATGAATAAAAATAGTCACGTGTGTAACAAAATAAATCAGTCACAGTTATTAGGGCAGACGATTACCTAAAAGTAGGATCCGTTCACGAGAAAAATATATGACTATAGAATCTTAAAATATGTCGTACGAGAATTTCGTGATTGTCGTTAAATCGCCGGCGGCCTAATGTTATCGTTACCACCTACCGTGACCAACACGCGTGCGCTTGAACGCGATAAGAAACATTATTCCGTATGAACTAACACAATTTTCATATATTGTGATTGATTGAGATGATTTAGAATTACGAGAATGCATGGAAATGAGATTAAGAATAGATTAGAATAGAAAATCGTTTATTCAAATAACTTTATTTGAATAAACGTTATAAATAAAATTTAATTTAAGCACTTTTGAATAGACATCATATTTTTTTTAATCTACCGCTCTTTCGGAATGTTATCTCATGACAAGAAGAATGAGCATGAAACTTGTGTGTTGCTCTTTTAAATAATCGTTGCAAGTTTACACTTTCAAGTCGAAACGTGTGAATACAAACTTCCAACTAGCACTAATTTATTAGGATCAAATATAAATCTATACATTTAAATAAAATTGGAGTGTCTGTTTGTAATATTAAAATAATCGTTTTTTACAACATTCATATGAATATAAATACGGTACATATAAATACATACACCAAAATATCATTTTTTTACAATTTTTGTATGTCTGTCTGTTTGTTCCGGCTAATCTCTGAAATGGCTGGACCGATTTTGAGGGGACTTTTTTTGGCAGGTAGCTGATGTAATAATGCGTAACTAGGCTACTTTTATTTTAGAAAAATAAAGTTAATTTCATGCGGACGAAGTCACGTGTACACCTAGTACACAATAAGATTAAATCAGTCATAGTTAAATATCACCAGTACCTGAATAACAATTCGTTAACATCCTATAAGTATGTAATATTATATTGCCTGTGCTATAAGTATGGGATGATAATGATGGCATTTCAGGGCCTTGCTCATATTTTTTGTCATACATGTCAAATAATCTGATGGCTTATTTGAAGGTTAATGGCAACTATATAATATAAGCTATACTTAATATCATTATATCAAACAAAGTCGCTGTCACTGATATGTATGCTTAAATCTACGCAACGGATTTTGAAGCGGTTTTTTAATAGATAGATTCAGAAGGAAGGTTTATATGTATAATACATGTACACGCGGGCGAAGCCAGGGCGAGTAGCTGGTAATATTATAAAGCTGAAGAGTTTGTTTGAACGCGGTATTCTCAGGAACTACTGGGTCGAATTGAAAAATTCTTTTTGGATAGTCCATTTGTCGAGGAAGGCTTTAAGTTATATAACATTACGCTACGGCTAATAGAAGCGAATCGTCGGTGAAAAATGTTTCAAAAACGGGGAAAATTATTCATATTTGAGGGCTTCCAAAGATAATCGCTGTAGTAAAACACACACATATCTAGTAAATATATGATAATAATATGCGTGGACAATATGCTCAGCTCCATCTAGTCCCAAGCTAAGCAGAGATTGTGTTATGGGTGGTAGTCAATTTATACAAATACATATATACATTTTTTTGTAAATACTTACATACTATAGATAGGAAACACCTAGATAGACACTAACAACCATACTGATGAATACAAATATTTGTATGCGAGGAATCGAACCCCCGAACATCGGGAGTAATGCGTATGTACTAAACCGCTAAATCACATGAATAGTACCACAGACCTCACATCATTATGTAATTATAGTGATGAAGGCAAAGCAACTAAGATACTATGCTTCTGTATCCTGAAATTTCATTGCTATATTCTAACCCTTCAACCGAAACAACTTACAAAGTAAGCTGCTTGGTTATAAAATAGTCGAACTGATTTGAATTAAAATAGGAAGTTAAGAAGCCAAAAGAAGGCCAGTTATGTCAACACAATTATTGCGCTTTATTATCTATTTCTATTGCTAATAATTCTCATGATCGATCTCCCGTCCAATTCAAACGGGGATCGAAATTACGACGGCCTTAATTGAGGTTCGAACTCCTAGCGGTGCCCTCAGATTAAAGCTGTGTCTATCAGGAGTTAGCCTTCAGCCGCTCTACGGAACTCACGGTAGGACTCACTTCCGTGAGTTTGGAGTGCAGCTGTAAAGGCCAGCTGCGGCCAACAGCATTAGAGTAGTCCGAAAAAGAAACCTTAACTAAACCTAAACCTTAATCCTAAAAGGGCACCGCTAGGAGTTCGAACCTCAACTTAGGCCGTCGTAATTTCGATCCCCCGTCCAATTCAAACGGGGATCGAAATTACGACGGCCTGAGTTGAGGTTCGAACTCCTAGCGGTGTCCTCAGATTAAAGTCCTGTTTATCAGGCAGGAGTTAATCTTCAGTCGCTCCACGGAACTCACGTAAGGACTCACTTCCGTGAGTTTGGAGTGCAGCTGTAAAGGCGAGCTGCGGCCAACAGCATTAGAGTAGTCCGAAAAAGAAACGGTGCATCCATGGAATGATAAGAAGTTTGTCTCTTTCTTTCACTGCAAAGTTAATAATTGTCAAAGCTTCTACTTATCCCACACTCTGTTCTCAAAAACAATTTATACCATATGGGATAGGCACCCATATGGTATAATGGTTGTGAGAACAGTGTGTATGTTTAATAATTATTAATGCTGATGGCAGGTAAATAAGCGGTTGCGATGCGCCATTACTTTGTGTGAACTGATACTAATGTAATATGGTAGATTTTATTGTAAAACTGCTGATGCGTCAATATGTAGTTGTACATTACTGTAAATTGAATCTTATTTCGTTATATTTTTTATAATGCTTACCTACTTGCGTATAAATTTACATTCATATTATAAATATATGTATATATATGTGTAGGGTATTTTTGATTCCCAAAATATTGATTCTAAATTTGAAATGGGTCCACAGATTTTCACCCTATAATGCAAAGTCGACACTAATCAAATAAAAAAACATGTATTCATTTTAGCAGCTTATGAACGTCAAATTTGGTGTATTAATATTTATTCCCTACCGTCCAGTTTAGTATACAGATTTAAAAAGAACTGGCAAGAAACTAAGCAGAATTTCTTTCGGACGGATTATATTTTTTATAACAATTGAAGTATATTTAAAATAATTATTTGTGCAACTAAAATAATATGTCCAGGCATTGGTACACGGCGGTACTTACCTATCTTCATTATCTGCATACAATAAATGACGAATATAAATTGAATCACCTATTAATAGGCGGGTACTTTACGTAGATACACATAATAGTTATATTTTTACATAAATATATTTTCAATGCCATTAATTCATTATTTTGAACAAAGGTACAAAAATAATAATTTTATTAGCACAATCTTATACTATTGACATTCAACAAATATTTTTTTATAAATCTATTAATCCAAAATAAAGAAATCATATAAATACAGTACTTACCGTCACTTGAGCAAAACGATTCCAAATTTGAAACAATAAAAAAACCACAAACACTGTTTAAAACCACTAGTATTTTAACATGAGATTTAATTTTTTATGCACGATACTAATACTTTATAAAAAAAAAGAAATAAAAATAAACAGAAGCGTCGAGTTCAGTTGGCGCGAAATGAATCTATGGCGGTAATAACACACCAACACTATTTCATGTAATTTTAATAACAAAATTTCTTGTAGCGACGCTACACAACCTTGTCAATTGAAAAGGCACGTTGTAAGTAAAGACACCTGCATTATTGTTTATTTCGTTTCTACAATATCTACCTACTTAGTATTTGTATTGTAGTTACATTTAATTATCTGAAATGTTCATCTGTTTCAATAAATGGTTGTGACTCAAGTTAATCACTTAGTTTTCTTTAGGCCGTTATTTGATGATTGTCAAAAGAAAACCAACTTATCTATGTGTCCAATATGATAGTCATAGTAAGCAATTAATCACTTCGTTTTAATTTTAACTGACCGCAAGGAAAAAATATTAATTAAAAAATTAAAAAATAGTGTTTTAATACAATTTAATTATGTATGAAAATTAGTAATTAATTAAAATAGATTTTGTATTATTTATTATATAACAATCTCATTATTTATCGATAAGTGTAGTAATATGGGTACGTGTATTAAAAAATTTGGATTACCGATTTTATAGCCGAAAAAGTCAAAGAAAGATCTAGTGACTAATATGTATTTATATATCAATACTAAGATAGCGGCAACTGCTATCTTAGTTGATATATAAATACATGGAACAATACTTAATTTATAAGAAAGAAAAAACATGACCATTTTATAAAGTCACACTTGTATAAATACAATATGGCGCCGTTATTACTTATAGCAATCTTCTAAAGTGACCTAAGGGTCTGGTGTTTCTGACTCATTATAATGCTGTTCATTGTAGTAGATGAGACAATTATTATCTCATCTCAACCTCGTGTCATCAAATTTTATTATTTTCTTCCTGTTTCCATATACCATACAAATTTAAAAATTTAATCGCGGTATGAGGGCAGAAGGTCCTTTTGGTAAGCTATTCGATGACAATCACCTGCCATAGTCCTGAATTCTGGGGAGAAGGGTATTTTTAGTAATGTGGACTGATGACCCCATTACTAGCAATGTACCATGTCAGGTTGACCTTCACAGATTTTCTTCCTGGAAACCATCCTGCAATTTGTCACAATGGGCTAACTAACTTGACCTTAAGCTCATCTTATCCTCCGCAGCTGGTGCTCCTCCTGCTTATACCGTTATACTGGGACATCATTACATTATCATCCAAAAAAGTCCTAGATATATCAATAGAAAAAATCTGTGTGTAAAAAAATTCTACTGTGCCCATACGTGACTACATTCAGCGCAGATTATTGTGTGCAGTTTTTAGTAGGCGCTTTGCAAGTGTCCTTTTTTAATATGTAGAATAAAATTTATACAATAAAAGATCAACGACAATAGCATATTAAATTATTTCATGAATTCTATGAATAAAAATCTTCTCCCCAAACACAATACAGTATCACAAGTATCATTTATGAGAGGATTTGTCCATCCGAAGCGTTAATTTTTAAATTATAGTGTAGGTAACTGAATCCCTAGGGCATAAAGGTGTGATGTGATAATGTATCTGATATCATCACTACTCATCACGTAAAGGAAGCGTTAATCTAATAATGTGACCAGTACGACCTCCTGCATGATGAAGAAAATACTTAAGTATCATACTGTACATAGTTATTTAAGTAGTAGTTAGTCGACACGTAATATTATCTTATCTGTAATTGTACAATAATATCTCTAGACAATTCCCAGACGCTTCTTGTCATAATAATAATAATATCTGGACAATTCACACAACGCCATCTAGACACAAGTTAAGCTAGCTAAAGCTTTTGTTATGGTTACTAGACAACTGATATAAATACATAGACTCTTTTTTTGTAAATACATATATAATATACATAGAGAACACCCAGACTGATACAAATTGTGGCACAGTTAGTTATTAATAAAAACAAAATTGAGACTGTACTCACTGAATAAGTTATCAATGCGTTTTGGTAGTTACTGTAAAATCCTAACTATGTAAGTATACGAGATAAAATGTCATTAAGCTGTAACCCATGAACTTTATGGATAATAAATTAAAAATAATGCAATAAATTCGATATGCCACATCCATTCATCCATATATGCATTATATAAAACGCTTAAAACTGTAATAGCGAATTTATTTTGATGGAAACAGATGCAAAAGTTGTAATTCTGATACGAGATTTATTTTATTGCGCGGACATAAAAGCGAAATGTTCTGAAATCCATACGTGTATCTGGCACACAATTGTTAAACTTCGTATTTTATTTTATTTTATTTGATACCTATCTTAATATACCTTACTAATATTATAAATGCGAATTAACTGTCTGTTGCGCTTTCACGCCAAAACTACACGAAATTTGGTACACAAATAGTAACTTGAGAAACGACATAGAATACTTTTTAATGCGAAATGGGGATTGTAAGGGGTTGAAAGGGTAAATCAAAAGTTGGAAATCGAAAATAGTATATCGTCATTTTTAAGCTAGAAGCTTGAAATTTATTTTGTAGGCTGTTGATTAAATAAAGCAAGTAAACTAAAAATTGTACTCTTAAGTGGGTAAAATAAAGTAAGGGATGAAATTTTGTATGGCAATTCATCATTTTTGAAGCTAGATCGATGAAATTTTTTCATTGGCTTTATTTGGCCAAGGTCCCTTTTCAACGCGGGCTAAGTTGCGGGTAAGCTAATATATGTAATATTATGTTTCTATTTTCTATTCTATTTCTATTTCTGTGCTAATGTTATAAACGCGATAGTTTGTGAGTATAGATGGGTATTTGTTACTCTTTCACGCATAAAGTACTGAATGGATTTTTTAATACTTTACAGTAATATAACTTGTACATCAGATTAACACAAAGGCTAAAAATATAAAGCGGGCACAGTTAGTTATATATAAATTAATAGAACCCAAAACAGTGGTTGTTACATTTGGGTACAATTTTCATTTATTACTTCACATATAATTTTATTTTCTGATTGTTTTAAAAATAAAAAGTTATAAGGTCTAGTAATAAGGCCGTGTATAAATATTTGAATGCAGAATGTTGTGCAATATTGCTCTGTATTGTGTAATGTATGTAACAAGTATTATCTGTGCAATAAATAAATAATCTTTATTGCACAGATTTTTAATTTAAATGAAGGGAAATTTAAATTAGGTACATGTGGAAAAGACACTACGAAAAAGCTTATTAAGTAATATACTGTTTGAATGACTACAATGCATGGACTTAATTACAATTTTGACTTTTATTATGAGGTATAGATTTTTCCTATTGACAAACTTATCAATGTTTAATATTAGAGAAACTTATTATAAATTTATTAATAATATATTATAATTTAATATGAGCTGAGTTTCTTGTCAGTTCTTCTTAGCTCGAAAGCACTCCCAACTGGTGGTAAATTAGACATATTCTAAGAGTCTGTAATAGAGCTACATGAATAAATATATTTTGATTTGATAAAAATTGAGCCAATCTTAGCGGGTCTGTTTCGTAATGTGTATATTGGAACACAATAGGACCGAAGTCTGAAGATGTATGTGATAAATTGACTTGTCATACTATTGACGTCGTATTAGGTACCAACCCGTCCTGTATCTATGATTGATGTTGTACAGTCAGCTACATAGTTATATAGTTGAATAATAAATGTATTCAAAAATAATAGGTACTTCTATTTTGATGTCTGTTGTGGGAATGTACAGCTTAAACTCTTAAACAATTTGAATTTTACCGTGTGAAGAATCGAACCTTGGTAGAATGGTGGTGTGCTAAACTGCTAGACCACCGAGGTCATCGATATTTATTGACAATGTTATAAAATGGTCAAAGTTTGTTAATTCCGATTTGACTGATAAGGCATCCAGTACTTCACTAACACTTTCCTCTCTATGAGAATACCTAGACACACACATACCTACTCATGAATACAAATATATTGTGTGGGAATCGAAATCACAACAGAAAAAAGTAGCATTAAATATAAAAGTGCTACATAAGGTAATTAAATATGCAATCGACTGTACGTACATAAATTGTATTATTGTGACATCATACGGATCAAATTCAAACTGACGTACCTACAATGTGAAAGAAAGGACTTCCCGTACCGTGGATATGAGAACTATAGAAGAGATAAATGTATATATATATAGATATAGGATTTTTTTTTAATTATTGAAGATTACACTGGAGACCTGGGATCTAATAGTACTATACTAATAGTATTAAATAGAAGATGTACAGAAAAGCAGTCGAGTCAAAATAATAATAATAATATTTCAGGATAATTCACACAACTTCATTTAGTCTCAATCTAAGCAAAGCGTGTTATGGATACTTAACAACTAATACAATTTTTTTTAAAATTGATAGTCTTATCTTATATATAAAATTCTCGTGTCACAGTTTTCGTTCCCATGCTCCTCCGAAACGGCTTGACCGATTCTCATGAAATCCTGTGAGCGTATTGAGTAGGTGGGAAACAAGCTCGTCAGCGTTGGAAACTAGTAAGAGATTTTTTTAATAGATGATAATGGAATGGTGCACCCGTCAGCGCTAAGGATATACGCTGACGGGACACCTTTGGAGGATGATAAGATAAGTGTGAGGTTAGGTCATTTAGCCGGTCAGGTATTTATTTTATTGTGAGAAATTAACGACGATAATTTCCAGAGGGAACCGCGTAGAGGTCAACTTAAATTGGTACCGCGATCGGTCGGTCATCAGTCCCCATAACTAAAAATCCCCTTCCTTTACTATTACTCATAAATCAATTTAATATGCCCTTGTCTATAAACACAGCCTACAAAGCAGATTGCTTGACTGAATTTTTTTTTATACTACGGTAGTGGCAATCAAGCATACGGCCCATCTGATGGTAAATGGTTACCGTAGCCTATGAACGCCTGAAACACCAGGGTATCACTTTCGCGTTGCCGACCCTTAAGAAACCTTAATATACCCTTCTTGAAAAACCCCATGCTGTAGTCTCGTGGGATAACCTCGGCAGGAAGTTCATTCCACAATCTAAGTGTACGCGGGAGGAAACTCCTCTGAAACCGCACTGTTCGGGACTACTTGGTTCCAGTGAGTGGGAATGAACTCCCTGTCGATGGCGAGCGGTGCGGTGGTAAAAGGTGGCTGTTGGCATCATGTCGAAAAATTCCTCAGAACACAGTCCGTTGTATAATCGGTAGAACACACAAAGCGAGGCGAGGTCTCGCCTCAAGCTAAGTGGCTCGATACCGCCAGAGAGATTGGGATCATCGACAATTTTCATAGCACGTCTCTGAACCGAGTCAAAAGGACCGAGTTGGTATCCAGGTGCTCCCGCCCAAAGATGAGAGCAGTACTCCATGTGCGGCGGAACCTGTGACTTATATAAGAGAAGTCTCTGGTCCGCAGTGAAGTACCGGCTCGCTCTATTGAGCACACCGAGCTTCTTGGACGCCAGCTTTACCTTTTCTTCCAGATGACTGCGGAACTCAACAGTACTAGAGATGTCGACAACGAGAATCCCAATACTCTTAGAGATGGTAACGGACGTGTTCTGAAATTGAGGAGCCACAGCAAAAGGAGTTTTCTTCGCGGTGAACGCGCAGGCTTGTGTCTTAGTAGCTTAGTTAATTGGTGACACTGTGTTAAAGCTAATAGATGATTTCTCATAAAGTCTACCTTAGTACAGAATGGGACTCTTAACAATATGGGTTAACCATGGATAAAAGAAGAGAAACGTCAAAAAGAATCATATTAATAATCACTTAGCGGAGATATCACGTAAAAGAAATAACGTCAATTTGACAATTTGTTCCATTTGGCAAAACAATAACTGATCTAGCTGTCCCGTGCAGCGTCGTCTGCATCACAGTTTCCTGACATATATATATATATATATAATACTAGCTGCATCCGCGATTTCGTCCGCGTGGAATTTAACTTTATTTTTCTAAAATAAAAGTAGCCTAACTTACTCCTTATTACATCAGCTACCTGCCAATAAAAGTCCCGTCAAAATCGGACCAGCTATTTCAGAGATTAGCCGGAACAAACAGACAGACAGACAGATTGTAAAAAAAATTATTTTGGTGTATGTTCCGTATTTACTATGCTTTTTATATTTATTTCGTTATTAATATGCTTCTAGTAAAAAACTTTTATTTCAATGTTACAAACTGACACTCCAATTTTATTTATATGTATAGATTATATAAATTTCGTCGAATTTATATAATCTATCTATTAAATTATAGCCTATGTGTTATTCTTATAAATAAACTATATTACTGTGAAGTTTCATCAAAATCCGTTGAGTAGTTATTGCGTGAAAGAGTAACAATGCATCGGTACTCACAAACTTCCGCGTTTATAATATTAGTAAGATATAATGTAAAAATATTCCACAGACGTGTATTGGTTCCGCCGTGAAAATTGAAAGGATATTTACATATGTATGTAGTTAACGTTTAAGTGGTTAAAATGTAGACACTCAGGTACGTATAGAAATGTATTACAATACTGTCCAATATAAACGAATAAAATTATTTGACATTTTTAATTCACTCGAGGAATGATGAATGTTTTATTTCAGTACTTAAATTACATTTGTTTGGACCAATTACAGGAAATACAATTACATGAATTTTCTTATTTATTGTTAAAAATTGGCAGTGGTTAATATGTAGACACTCAGGTACGTATAGAAATGTATTACAATACTGTCCAATATAAACGAATAAAATTATTATTTTTAATTCACCTGAGGAATGATGAATGTTTTATTTCAGTACTTAAATTACATTTGTTTGGACCAATTACAGAAAATACAAGTACATGAATTTTCTTATTTATTGTTAAAAATTGGCAGTGGTTAATATGTAAACACTCAGGTACATATAGACATGTATTACAATACTGTCCAATATAAATGAATAAAATTATTTGATATTATTAATTCACTTGAGGAATGATGAATGATTTATTTCAGTACTTAAATTACATTTGCTTGGACCAAGTACATGAAATTTCTGATTTATTGTTAAAATTTGGCGAATTAACGTATTCTGAAGAGGGGCAAATCGTTTTATCTGATAAGTTATAAATATATATAACAGTACCCGAGGATGTTAGATATTTATACAAATCCTTACTATAGTAATGTTATAAATGCAAAAATAATTCTGATTGTCTCTCTGTCGCGGTTTTACGTCAAAACTACTGAACAGATTTAAATTTAATTTGTTACACAAATAGACTAGACCCTGAGAAATTGCATAGTCTACTTTTAAGTGCGAAAAAAAAGTTGTAAGGGATTGAAATCAAATCAAAGATCAAAGATCAAAGGTTGTATGAAAGTATTGTCATTTTATAAATAGAACGGTGAAACTGTTTTGGGTTATAATCTATCTAAATATATTTTCCTTATTTGGCCAATATCACTATTCAAGGCAGACAAAGTCGTGGGCACAGCTACTGTATAATAATAAAATTATTAGACATTTTTAACCCACTTGAGGAATGATGAATATTTTAATTCAGTACTTAATAAATTATATTTGTTTGGGCTAATTATATAAATAAGATTAGATATTTATGTAATTTTACACAGGTTTACGTATTGAGAAAATCGTCTGTGTTATAATATAGATAAAAACAGGTTTAAACACAAATAAGTTTATGGGAAATAAAAGCACATATTTACCTCTCTCTATAATGTGTACTAAACGCTAAAGTTAAAAAAAAATAACAATCGTCGGTGTATTTGTCACCTTTTTACGCCTGAATGGATCTTAATGAGGCTTGACGTAAGGATACATTATTATTCTAAAAATTAACTACCAAAGAAACATCTGGAGGTTACCTCGTTTTATTTTTCATCTGGTATGACATTTACCCCGAGGATACCACGTTACGAACAATCCTCCCCCCCTCATAATGATTATGAAAGCATACCTTGGGAATGCGGGGCGTTCACGTGTCATGTCCGTAGCACCGAAATTAGCATTAACGTCACAATGGGAGGTAAATAAGATTAGCAATAACAATCGCAATCAGTGTGTCATCAATGCCAACGAGCTACATCCTGGCAATTGAGCGGGATTGAGGAGGGAACAGGCCGCAGTCGCGCTCCGAGCCTGGAACCACCGTCTGGTGAGTACGACAATGTATTTTTTTATGCTCTTCAAGACCCTCAAGGTCTTATAGATGATATTAATTTAATTTATATACGTACTGATGACACGATCCTACTTCGCACGGAAGCAATTACTTTAAGGATATCTAATTTAGAAAAATTAAAGAAAATAATTTAATAAATAGTTTGTTTAATTCCGCTTAAATTTAGCGGAATTAAAGAAAATAATACAAATTCATTAAGTAGTGAAATGGATTTCCTCAAAATAACACCTAATACTATAAAATATATAAAAAATACTGCCTATGACACTGGCTGACAACTAGTAGTAGCTTACTGTAGTACTGTAACTAGTAGCTTACTGAAGATGTAAGAATTTTCGTAATCAGTAAAGTACTTTTTGATTGCGTGTATTACAGACAGAAATCAATTTATAACACGAGTATTATTGGTTACTAGCTGTGCTGTGCTCTGATACATAAACTATATTACTGTAAAGTTTCATAAAGATCCGTACAATAGTCCTTGCGTGAAAGAGTAACAAACATCCATATTATCTTATATATAAAATTCTCGTGTCACAATGTTAGTTACCATACTCCTCCGAAACGGCTTGACCGATTTTTATGAATTTATATATTAAAGAAATTACATATGCATATTCGGTAGGACTGAGAATCGGCTACTATCTATTTATCATACCCCTAAATGATAAGCGTTGTCTACCTCTAACATTTATTTTTTATATTTTTATAATATGGCATTAAAAATACATACAACCCTAAATTTTCATACTTTTGTCACCAACCACTATTTTTTATATTAATATATATGACAACGTTTGCGGGATCAGCTAGTTATACATATATATATCGAGTTTACAATATTATTTAGATTAAGATGTAATCATATATATGGGATATGTACTATGGATATTTAAATATACAATTTGATTGCTATTTGGATTGTCCTAAGGGATTGTACGGTTTAATATCAGCTGTTGAAATTCATCATAGAACAGCCCTTTCCTAATTAAAATTCCCAACCACCTCGATGAACAGCTCTGTAGCGCATTTTTTTAGAAACTTTCTGCCACGTACCTACATAAAAAAAAATTCACGTGACATATTTTCTTACTGATACGATACTCTTTTAGAAAAGAAGGATTTATTTCCTAAAAGACCGGTAATAATTTGATGTATTTTGATTTATAGACGACATACATTTAAGCAATTATGTATAATATCTAGGCATGGTTGGGCAATCTGCTTTTTAGTCAATTGACGTGCTAGGTATTGGCATGTTACATTGTGGGCTCTGTGCTCAACATCATAAAAAATATAACAACAATAATTTATATTCAACAATATTTCTCTAACAATTATAAGTAATTGAGCTGCCGTCGGTTTTACCCGCATGAAATTTGTAGCATATTTGTAATTCTAATGTACAAGCTATATTGCTATAAAGATTCATCAAAATCTGTAGTCAATAGTTATCCGCAAAAGTTATATAAAAATCCATCCATCCATACTAACAAACTTGAAACTGAAACTGCGGGTCTATATTTATTCTGAAGCTATATTACTGATAAAGTAATAAAGATTCAATTGTCCATCCATACTCACAACATTCGCGTTTATAATATACCTAATAGTAACATTCAAATATATATCTCTATGGAAAACAAAAGCATTTCAAACATAACTTAAGCCAATTAAAATCCTAATTTGTACACCAAACTATTTAGTTTTATTTAAAGAGCAGATTAGGGACAGGAGAGATTATTTTAGGGGTAGGATTTCAAGGGATTCGTATGATATTAGATTTAACGTAGTTACTGTGATAAAAAAGTTATTAAATAACGGTTATATAATACTTATTATGAAATGTGCCATCTAAAATTTATTTCTATGGTGCATGACTATATAATTTATTCTATTTTATTTTCAGAATTCAGAAACAATTTGCGTTGAGTTTGAAATTTGGAATTATTATGTTACATTTTTCTAAACTTTCGTGTTTAATACACATTATTTATATTGATTTTCAACTAAAGACATGATACAGAATGAATACATCAGAGAAAGTATGAAAGTGGCACCGATGTCAGAGAGGTTAAAGAGTAATCGTCTATCGTGGTATGGACATGTAATGCGTAGGAATGAAGATCATATCCTAAGGACGGTGTTACATATGAATGTGGATGGTTATAGGGGTAGAGGAAGACCGAAAAAGAGATGGATGGACTGTGTGAAAGATGATATGGTGAGAAAGGGAGTAAATAACGGAATGACTGCGAACAGAGATGAATGGAAGAGAAAAACATATTACGCCGACCCCAAATAAATGGGATAAGGAAGAAGCAGATGATGATGAGAGGTAAATATAGGTATTTACCTCTCATCATCATCTGCATATTATTATTTTAATTTTTTACAAGTTTATTGTAACTATAGGTAATTTGATTCTTTTATTTAGATGATTATTGTAATTACATAAATATGTTTCTCGAATTACATTTCATTGGTAGGTAGATTAAATGGCCAGTTGACCTAATTATTGTAGTATGTATTCCTATTAGAATAAGAAGTTTTCAAGTCGATTATTTTTTTCATGTACATTACGCAATATACTTACCAAATTCGAACTATGTTCTTAGAAAAAAGTATTTTAGGATATGTCCCAAGTCAATTTGGTTACGACTGATAGTAGTTTTTCTTAGATTTTTCTTTTATCTACTAACCTTTCTTATATTTCTTACAATCTCATGGTCAGAGAATACCAATCAATCAAATGTTATCAATTATTATAATATGAATATAACCGTGTCATTTCTTTGCATTGATAGCTGTATTTATTTGTTTATTACATATATGTAAACCTACATATATTTTTAACCCTAACATTTATATTGCTATATGAATAATAAAAGACGTAAATAAATTGTAAAATGATTTCATCGAATTGCATCACTATTATATGTGACATAGAGCTTCTGGAATTCATTATACCTGTGGGTTTAGCTATATAATTAATAAACATTAATATAGTGTCCGCTTAGGTTTAATAATACGCCATGGATATAATTACTGTACGTTTAAGAACGTAATAATAGATGCTATTGGATATTCAATAGGTATATTTAGCTAGCCGGCACGGTGTCTGAAAGGACTTTGCTTTCATTTCAGTAAAACAAAAAAGATACTGGCATATACCTCTTATATAGACAAAGATAACTTTTGTTTAAATTTGGAACGATTTTGAAATGAATAAGGAATATTTTCGCGCTATAATTTGTGCCAACTCTAATGAAATTCAATGAAAAGGACGAACACGGGACGGGTGTACCGGACTTACTTATTTGTTTCTTGTTGAAAATGAATGGATTTATCTTATACACACATTTCAACAGAAGTATTTAGGAGTATATCTATCCTATTAGATAAGGTTTTATGAAATACCTGTGCTATAACTAACTAATTTGTTCTCTGTGTATTGAAACTGAGTAATAGTTATTTATCATCTATAAGTATTTAGTACATATTCGTACAATGTCAATATAGAACTCATGACAATGATTTAATTATTTACGTAAGTGACCAATACTTCTGTGCCTATATAAATAAATTCTAGTAAATAAAATTTCTGTGAACTAAATTTAATTTTTATTATAAGTATGACTATGAATTTGTATGAAATTATTGTAAATTAAATATTGTATTGGGTGAATACTGCTTTAATACAGACTCTAAAAACGTACGTAGATGAGTAACTTGAAATAGTTCATGATTTGATTTGTATAGTTTGATGTCGGCACTACCTGTTGTAGTTTTAGTTTTTCATAGGTAAATAACAATATAATAAAAATACTGAGAGAACGAAGTTGTATTTGAAGGATTATCAAGAATGGAAGTAAAAGAAATGTAAAATAACAGAATTAAAAATTTAGAATAGAAGTACATTTTTGTTCAGCCAATGACAACACTAACAAGTTCGTACTGAGGCAGTTGGTCGCCAACACTATGGCGATCAACTGCCGCGAAATCCTTAGATATTTTTATTTTTAAATTTATATTAGAAAACTGTTCTTTGTATGTCATGTTTTTTGATACAATCTTATTTTGTTCATTATTCTTTATTTTAGTTCGCCGCTGCATTGCGATATTATATTAACAATAATAATAATAACAAATAAAAAAAGAAAAATGTGCAAACAAAAGGCACCTTATCGCAATGCGATCTCTTACAGATAACCTTATATCATTATAATCTACATGTTTTAATTATTTAGACTAATACAGGCCTCCGATCTATTGCAGCTTGGAACAAAATAAAAGGAATTTTTGGTATGAATCTATGTAACAATCTTTGCAATAAATACAATTTTTATTGTAAACAAAATATTAATTGTGTAAAATTTTGCAAATCTCTCTTTAGGTTGTTAAATACATTCTTGGATGAGTAGGTAGTGATTGTTAATGATGTTTTATTTTGGTTATTTCATTGTCTATAGTCCAATTAAATCTTATTTATTAATTATTGTACCAAATTGTAATTTAACACTATATTTTATGTACCAATTGTCACAAAATAAAATGATTGATTGAACCAAAATTGAAATATCAATCAAATATCAAGTTTGATTGATATATCAATTTTGGTTCAAATCTCAAAGGACGGTAAACTCTCACATGCTTGAAACGTGTTGTTAATTACTCTGTGACCACAGAGGCCAATACAATACAACGTTGGAACAATAATTAAAAAAAATTGTTGGAATTCAGTTATAACTGTTTAGGCAAAGAGAAACAAAAAATATATGAGGACATAAATTTAAACGAATTTATCCATTAGTGAAGGTGTATTTATCCATTAGTGAAGACGTAGCACCAACCAGACTTCTACTCTTTATCCAGCAATCCAGCTTTATCGCATCTTAATTGGAGTCGAATCTCCTAATCATTCGTTTCTAGAATCTTCTTGTCTGGATCGTCGGTGGATGTATATTTACACATGAAAGATCTTTTTCCATGGCGGCTATCCATATAAGTCGAGGTCTTTCATGCTTCTTTTGTTCAGGATTGACGTTTAGTATCTTTCTAGTCGCATGGTCTTCCAGTCTTTTTATGACGTGACCGTAGCACCATAATCTGGACTTAGCTAATTTATCCACTAACCACATATATAAACTACTAGCTGTTATCCGCGGCTTCCCAGATCTGTTTTTTTTTTTAATTAAGTCAAAAAGTATCCTATGTTCATTCTAATACCTCTAAGAATATTTGTCCAAAATTTCATGATGAATATCCTTACTTTTACATTTATAATATTAGTAATGTTAATCTATAGTATGTACATCTTTTACAAAAGCTAATAATAATAATAATCTCAGGACAATTCACACCAAGTTAAGACAAGTTACGACCCAAGTTAAGCTAGCTAAAGCTTGTGTTATGAGTACTAGATAACTGATACATATACATAGATTTTTTTGTAAACATACATATTATACATAGAAAACACCCAGACCGATACAAACAATCATACTCATGAATACAAATGTTTGTGCCGTGCGAGGAATCCAACCGGTGACTATCGGTCGTAAAGAGGTGTGCTAGACCGCTAGACCACTGAGGTCGTCAATCGTCGTCAAAAAGCTGTCTCCCTTGTGAAAGTATCTATACTGTAAAAATAACAAAATTCTAGCGCCGTATTTCATTAGCTCAGTTAGCGTTGGTTAGCTCTGAAACCTGAAACATTTTGTTAATTAAACAATTTTTAGTATCTTGGCGTATAATATGAATACCTTTAAGGAAGTCTGTATTTAATTAGGAAAGTCGACTGCGGTTAGTTTACTCTCCTAACTCGCTTCCTGTATAGTAGTTTTTTTTAATTTGTCATCCATTATAATTGTAGCATACTCATTTCAGTAAATTAGAAAGAGATCATTACTTGTCCAATCACTCGATGCCCAAAATTCGACCATAATGTAATGATTTTTAAGTTTAAACTTTATTCAGATTCTGCTGTCAAAGACTAAATAGCTGTTTAGTGATAAGGCCGCCCATTATTACCTCTGTTTTGCACTTAGTAATAATATGTTTATATCTATTAGTCCATTATTAGTATATGTAACTTTATTTTTTATGAGGGACGCAAGAAAAAGTTTATTATTATTATATTAAATTTATACACGTATGTGTATATTTGCGTTTCAAAAATATGGTAGAAATGTTTTTTCAAACAGATATAATGTATCTTTTTAAGCATTACTATAAAAAATATTGGTTTTCTGCACTCTTTCTCGTATAAACATTAACGGTGCCAAATTTCATGACAGTCCGCGTAATTTTTGTAAAAAGGATTTATTTTGGTACAGATTCATAATGCATCTGAATCAAGAAATAAAAATACATTAATTATTTTAACCACCTTAAAAATAATTAATTTATTATTGTATGTACTAGTTGAGGTCCTTGCAAGTTCATCTCAACCGACGTAGTTGGCCAAATGGTTCATTTGATCATAAACTATTAACATAGTCCACGAACTGCTTGCATTAGCAGAATATTACTTTTATTATAGTACTATAGACAGTATTTATTTAGTTATTTTTTTATTTAGTGTTGTATATTTGTTTTTTTTTCTGTTACAATAGGAGCAAAGATCTGGAAGCTCGGAAGATGTTCAGCTTGAGTTGTTTCGTTTGCCTGTGCTTCAGCGTGGTTCATTGTCTCCCTCCAGATAAGGTATGCGTTATGACTAAAGTATTGTAGTTTGATTTCATAGACATTTCTCATTTTTTTTTATGTAATAGTAATAGCAAAAACATTGCCGGCCCACCTGTATGTTAGTGGCAAACAGTGAACACTATCTCATTATGTCGCGCTTCAATAGAAAAACTGAAATGAAGCCGTTTTGTTGACTACAATAGATGAAACAAAGGTAATCAAGCAGATACACTATACTCAAGCAAAATAAGTAATACCTCGGCAGTAATTTCTTATTCAAAATCACTACTTTCTCAAATTGAAAAGATGAAATAATTGTGTAACAGTATAACGTACATTATTTTCTATTTAATGGATGATAATGGATTAGAACACTAACGTTTTATTCTGGCGGGGCACCAGTGGAGGATGATATGATAAGCATGAGGTCAGGTTAGTTAGACCATCGTGGCAAATTCACCAACCATGTGGAATCCATAACAATGGTTTCCAGGGGGTACCGCCTGCACGTCAATCTGACATGGTACGACTAGTACTAGCAATGGAAGCATTGGTCCACATTGTTAACAATTCCCTTCACCCGGTAATTTATAGTTCGTAGTATGTAATATTATGTTATCTGTGGTTCGTAGGCATTTTATTTCACTGGCGGGTGGTTCGCGTCATTCCATACTCAGCCATAAAATTAATTATAAATTGTCTATAATAAATATTTTTCACTCTGTTGTACAAAGTAGGCAATTTACAGTTCGTTTTACATAATCGAGTAGTAGTGTGATTAAATTGTTTGAATACGGAGAGTTCTTCGGAATTTATTGTGCATAATGGTATGCGGGACCTCTGTATCGAATGTTTGGGGCCCCGAGCGTTTCACATCCGACCCTATAGCCGCTACAACACTATAGTGCTGACATCCTGTTCGAAGCTCACCTTGTTATCGGCTTTTGACGTCGTTAAAAACCTATTTTGAGGCTCGCTATGGAATTACTAGTGTACTGAGAGTAGTTATGGATGATTTAGATATATATAGGAGCTATATTACCAATATACATATCCATTTTTAAATGTTGTCGCCACAGCACCTCGAAGTTCGAACAGGTAAAGCAAATAACCCTGGATAGTTCACACAGCACCGTCTAGACCCAAGCTAAAGAGAGCTTGTGTTATGGGTACTATGCAACTGAATACTACATACATTTTTAGCTGTAAATACATATAATACACATATAAAACGCCCAGACAAATACAATCAAAATATATTCTTCTTTATAGATATATTATCAATAATACGAGTTCTGTTTAATTTGTAGGTAGCTTGATTGTACTGTGTGAACAGGTCCAGTTGTATTAAGTATGTTGAGTCATCTCCCTATAATGATATTTCCGAACCGGTACGATGCAATGAAACCTGCAAGAAAATAGTAATAAAATCCGCAATAATTTTTTTTTCCTATTTGTAATTTGTTGTGTTATATTGGCAATAAATGAATTATCTATCTATCTAATCCCATATAATTAAAACATTAAAACACATTTAATCCTCAATTAAACTGCAATATCTTATGAGTCAAAATTTTTAGGTGTCAGCATTCCACATAATAAAAACAAGAAGTATAGACCTCAATAATGCTCATGGATTGGCTATGGAAAGCCGACTACAGAAGGTCGTTGAACCAACAGGCTACAGATTAGAGTTGGAGCCGTATCTTGAAGACGGTCTCTTTAAAGGCCACGTCAGCATTAACATTACATGGCTGCAGGATGCTGACGAGATCACCATACATTCCGCTCATGATATAGAGATAACCAGTACTGAAGTTAGAGCTCACATACCTGCCGACTCGTAAGTATTTTTAATTTTTACCAATAAATATGACAATATAATTATTCTGGATGAGAGAAATCGTATTGCTCCCCTTCTTTTACTCATTAATTCATTATTTACGTGCCACGCTCTTGTCGATGGAGCTCTTACCATTTTCCACAGTGGCAACAGCATCTTCCATCATGCCCTTTAAATGTTGATACAACACGACTCCAATTTTGTCTATAATTTGCTTCACGTAGCTGTGCCTTGGTCTTCCCCCCCCCCCCTTTCTTCTACTATTAGGTTAATAATATGATAATGTAATGTTTTCTTCGAAAGATTCAAGCATATTCAGATTTATTATTTTCAGAGGTACAAGTAAGGGAATATATAAAAAAAGACATATATTATATTGTAAATAGTTTACTTTTAATCTCCTTGTCGACTTCCTAGAGGTCTATTTGGATTGTTACACTAAATAGACCTCTATCTAATGTAGATCTATAATAGATATTAGATAATATGCTTCTAACAACCGGTCTGCTCTGATTATTAAGAGTCATTTCTAATGTTACTCGACCGTACATATTGAGTTCAGGTTATTTAGTAGTTTGTTTCCATATTTTTTTTACCTAAAATATAACGTTCTATACCATATGTTTAAAAGAGTAATAGACAAAGCTTTTTGCTCATTTTTCTTTGCCTGCTGCACTCCGAATGGGTAGTAGTATTTCTTTTTTATATACAATAGACAGTGGCAAGGTAATGATAATGATGTGTATATCTTATTTTTAGAAAAGAAGTACAGAAAATTGCAGTGAAGGACTTGTCAGCTGATCCAAAGAAGCCTATAGTTACAATACAGCTTGAGAAGGTTGTACCCAAATCATCCAAAGGTCGTCTGGATTTCAGTTTCAATGGAAATTTGGAGACAGCTTCTACTGAGGCATTCTTCAAGTCTACATATATTACTGAGCAAGAAGTTGAGAGGTATTCGATATTTCGAGTATTTTAACAGCCTCGATCTAGCGGTTTAACACTTTACTTTCAAAGTTGTGGTATTGTTTCCTTGCACAATGCAACCATTTGTATTCATGAGTACAATTGTTTGTATCGGTCTGGGTGTTTTCTGTGTATATTATTTATGTATTTACAAAAAATATACATTTAAGTATTTATATCAGTTATTTAGTACATATAACACCAGCTCTGCTTACAGTGGGACTAGATGGCGCTATGTTAATTATCCGGGGTTATTTCTTTGGCTAGGGTTATTATTCTTTATTCTTGTTAATCATTGTTATTTATTCTTGCTAATCATTAAAACGGTTGGACAGGATTTGACTGGACTCCAAACAACGGACGGGAGTTTGTTTGGTCTTAATGTATTCGATGTACATTATGTATGAATATCCAAAAATGTTTCTGATTCAAATATGTACATATATCAGTTGTCTAGTACCTATAACACAACCTCTGCTTAACTTGAGACTAGATGGCGCTGTGTGAATTGTCTTTATTATTATTCTTTATGTTAAAAGCATGTCTATAGATACATATTATAAAACAATGCCCCTGCTGGCTCTCTGTATGTTCGCGATGATCTCAAAAACTAACACGTATGACATCTTAGTCCTTTGGACTGAGTGATACCACGGATGTCACATGGTAAATTGACTGTTTATGTATATAGGCGACGGTTACCACTTACCATCGTGTGGACCGTTTGTTTGCCATCCTAATTACAAAAAAGACTGTTGACTTACCAGGCTCTCATAAGATTAAAACAGTTCACATATGTACGTTTATAACTCAATCCGAAGAAGTCAATATTCAGAAGCAAAGTTAAGATGTATCTAATAACCGTATTTATATTCAGTACATGCCAGGTTAATTCAACCCTGTGTTATAAGATCGCTCCGAGATGGAATGGCGATGCGGAATTTCAACCCCTTTATCTTTCTTTAGTGGGTTGTAAATCTGGGGTGTTATTTATACGCGTCTCATATTTATTTGCTCGGAGGGTTCAGTGTTTTCGAATATTAACGGCAGATATATTGTTATGTCTAGAATCATAGACATCACTCACGTAATGGCTGGTTTTTTAATTCATTATAACGGAATGGTTCGGTTTTTATGGTTTATTCTAGCGCAATGTTAGATTTACTGTATTTTTGACGGATGCTAATGGAATGGTGCACCCGCCTACGCTAACGGTTTACGCAGGCGAGGCACTAGTGGAGGATTATAAGATGAACACGAGGTTAGGTCAGTTAGAACATCGTGACGAATGTACTGGGAATTTATCATGACGTTTTTCAACTTGACATTATTAGCAACCTTAACTTTGCTTCTGAATATTGACTTCTGCATGATTGAGTTATAAACGTACATATGTGAACTGTTTTAATCTTATGGGAGCCTGGTAAGTCAACAGTCTTTATTGTAATTAGGATGGCAAACAAACGGTCCACCTGATGGTAAGTGGTAACCGTTGCCTATATACATAAACAGTCAATTTACCATGTGACATCCGTGGTACCACTCAGTCCAAAGGACTAAGATGTCATACGTGTAAACTCTTAATTTACATTAATAACAATGCCCTTCCCACCACACTGGCTGTGTTAAAATTTTAAAGTATAGTATTAAAGTCTGGGATAATTTTAGTGTTGTATTATCTTGTCTCTTTATTAAGAGTCTAAGCAGGTATATATGTTCTTCTATTTATCACATAACACTATGTTATTCTTGCACCAGAAATACAAGGTCTGGAATAGACTTTTTTAGATACTACAGGATTAGAGGTATGACATCGTAGTTCTCTGGAATAGCAATAAAGCAGTGGTATCACGAATATCATATGATATATTTGTGATGCTGCTCATGTTATGTCTATTGACGGCTTCGGTGATCTAGTGGTTTAGCGCACCGCTTTACTTCCGATATTCGCGGGTTCGATTTCCTGCACCGTACTCACATTTGTTATTCATGACTATGATTGTTTATATTCATCTGGATATTTCTTATGTATACATTAACAAAAAAATTTATGTATGTATTTATATCAGTTGTCTAGTACCTATAATATAAGCTTTACTTAAGTTGGAACTAGGTGGCGCTGTTTGAATTTTCCTGTATTATTATTATTATGTATATATATTATTTCTTAGCTATAGCTGGTTTTGTAGGGACAAGGACGGGTTTTTTACCAAGTCACTTGGTCTCATATTTTTATTTAATCAGTATGAATGTTTGGAAACGGACTATTGAAAAATTTTCTAATGAGCATGTATCTAATCTAACTTTATTATATATGCGACGGTTACACATATCGTCAGCTTATTTGCCATTCTACATAACCGTCTACCATCTACATAATCCGTCATACTCGTGAACAGGTGTTCCTTGTGGGAACTGGCCTGTTCGAGTTACGGCCACTGATTAGACTATTTGCTTTTAACACAATTGCAATAGCATATGTTGGTGGTCACTCAATTCATTCTAATTTGAATTTAAAAATGAATCTGTGTTTTTGTAAACATAAACAAGCTCATTTGAAGAAAATAAGAGCTTAGTTTCCTGCCAGAGTTCTTCTTAATTGAAAGCACTCCGAACTGATGGTATTTGACATATCATAAGAGTCTGTAATAGACCTACTTGAATATATATTTTGATTGATAAAAACTGTAATTGTAGAATGGTGGCAGCAACTCAACTCCGTCCAAACAACGCTAGGAGAATGTTCCCATGTTTCGACGAGCCCGGATACAAGACGCCGTTCGAGCTGAGCGTTGTCCGCCCGAGGAATATGATCGCGTTGAGCAACGTGCCCGTCGCCAGGACTGAGGACATGTGAGACCTTTAATTTTATTTTTCTTTTTATAAAACTGTATGATATTTCCCGCTCGAGGAGTATGATAGCGTTGAGCAACGTGATTGTCGCTAGAACAGAGGACATGTGAGACCTCTAATTTTATTTTACTTTTTATAAAACTGTATAATATTTCCCGCTCGAGGAGTATGATAGCGTTGAGCAACGTGATTGTCGCTAGAACAGAGGACATGTGAGATCTTTAATTTTATTTTACTTTTTATAAAACTGTATAATATTTCCCGCTCGAGGAGTATGATAGCGTTGAGTAACGTGCCCGTCGCCAGGACTGAGGACATGTGAGACCTTTAATTTTATTTTTCTTTTTATAAAACTGTATGATATTTCCCGCTCGAGGAGTATGATAGCGTTGAGCAACGTGATTGTCGCTAGAACAGAGGACATGTGAGACCTCTAATTTTATTTTACTTTTTATAAAACTGTATAATATTTCCCGCTCGAGGAGTATGATAGCGTTGAGCAACGTGATTGTCGCTAGAACTGAGGACATGTGAGACCTTTGATTTTACTATTTATAAGACTGCTTAATATATACGTACAATTAGGAAAAATCACGGTATTTTACTACGTTTCATTTATTTTTATTGAGTTCCTTATCTTATATATAAAATTCTTATGTCACAGTTTTCGTTCCCATACTCCTCCGAAACGGCTTGACCGATTCTCATGAAATTTTGTGAGCGTATTCAATAGGTCTGAGAATCGGCCAACATCTATTTTTCATCCCCCTAAATGTTAGGGGTAGTCCACCCCTAAATTTTTTATTTTTATTTTAAGGCAAAACAACGTATGCCGGGTCTGCTAGTATTAAATATATGTAACTATTGGTGCCCGCTACTTCGTCCTGGTATATATTTGTAGACAAGCTTTTGACGATAATTAAGCTAGAAAAATAAATAATTTTCTTTATAAATTAACTAGCACTAGTACTATTTTACACTAATACCATTTTATAACTTCGGGGTTTTTCTAAGTTATTCTTTGGATTGTGTTGATGTTGGAGTATATTAAAAACATATTCTGTGGAAATTTAATATGAAATTCACATTTAGAATATAGTGGCATAGTGATTTTCTAACATAACTTTCAACTAAAAGTTCAAATTCGAACTCCACGGCTTCGCCCGGGTGTACATGTGTAAAAAACTGCTTCGAAATCCGTTGCGTAGTTTTAAAGATTTAAGCATACATAGGGATGGACAAACAGCGATAGCGACTTTGTTTTATACTATGTAATGATATAGTCCATTTTCTTTTAGTAAACTTTATTTGGAGAATGCTACCTTCCAATATATCTACAATCATTACGCGTACCCCTATTAAGGTGTAAAGAATTACAGCTATTTCTAAGGTTCAAATTCAGAGAATAGTAAGGCACTTTCCTCGGATCCCATCCACGATAATGAAATGAGAGTGTATGGCCACTCAGTCGACAGCGAGCAGCTGAGAGACGAGAAACGTACAAACTTGTTTAGACTTTACAGTATATTTGATACAGTCAATTTAAAGAAACACGATAATTCGAAATGAATGAAAGCTACTTTCGTAGGTAATTGGTGTACTTTGAAAATATTGATTAATATTATTAATGCAAACGTAAATGAAATGATATGGAGTAAAATGAAATGATATTTAATAAGTAGATGCTCAAAAACACGACACTCACACTTACAATATATTTAAAATAAAAATTAACAAAAATAAAAAATACACAATAAACAAAAGAAAAAAGAAAGATTTGAATTATATTATTAACTATATGCATCATGTAACTTTGTTCGTCCATATATTTACATATATATGTATACATATATGGCATGTTCCTAGTAGGCTAAGATTCATATGTCCAACTAACTTTATACTTTGTCTGTAATAAATTCGTGTTTTAACGGCCATTTTTTATTATGATAAGATAAATATTTTTCTAAATAAACTAATAAAATATAAATTTTCCATCAAAAGAATTATAATAATCAGTCCTCAATTCATAAAGATGTTTATGAACATATATATTAATAAAAATAAGTATTGAAAATCGAACCTTATTTTTTTATAATCAGTCAATGAACGCTAAATTACGCTGAATATGGCCATACAAAATCCAACTTATATTAAGCTAATTCATACACTGGAATTCTATCGCTTGTCTAGAAATATTTCGATGATTCGGACCAACAGTCTCAAATTTTTCAAATAACCAACGGAGGCTTGAATATTTAAATGGATCGTATTTCCTGCTTAGTACTTTATCCATTCAATAAGTCATCTCATGTAAATTCATCTTATAATATACATATTATAGAGAAAGTTAGTTAAGAAAAAGCATATTATAAAGTTGCTGTCGCTGTCCTTATGTATGCTTAAATCTTTAACTACCCAACGGATTTTGAAGTGTTTTTTTAATAGATAAGAGTCATTCTAGAGGAAGGTTTATATATATAATACAGGTACGCCCGTTCGAAGCTGGGACAAATAACTAGTAAAATATAAAAATCATTAAAAATGTCATCATCACCATTACTATGTACACTATCTTTTAAATAAAAAAGCATATAAAATTGCGTGAAAGAACTAATATGTTTTATTCTTGGTCTACTATAATTTTTAATTTATTTTAATATACTTGCAGTACTGGAGAACCAAACGCGGTATGGGACCACTTTGAGAAGACCCCTCCCATGTCTACATTTACGCTGGGCCTAGTCATCGCTGACCTGAAGCAATTAGGAAATTCAACATTTTACAAGGACAGCAATGGCAACGACATAGGTAAGTGACCCTTGTATAAACTGCAACAAACTGTTTTCCAAACCTCTCTAAAAACAATCTGTTAGGCTTAATACTCGGCTAAAATAATTTGATCTCTCTTTTGAAGTGAGATTAACTTTGCGAACAAAAGACGCCTGCAAGAGGTAATTGTTTGAAGCGTAATTTCATCAGCGTTCCGGTACACATTGTCGTTCCGAAATGACTAACATTAAATGTTAATTAATTTTAAAAGTCCCCTGAAATTGTCTCTGGCGGGTAATCGGTATTTGTTTGAAGTGAACCCAACTGTACTATTGCCTAGATATTGTATTTGTATTTTAATATTGAAGGGGTTATTTGCACACTGTTTAATGAAGTTTCATATGAATTGTCCTAATATACAAACGAATTTGATGACCTCGGTGATCTAGCGGTTTACCACACAACCTTACTTCTGACGGTAGTTCTATATCTCGCACGGAACAAAAATTTGTATTCATGAGTATGATTGTTTATGTCGGTCTAGGTATTTTCTATGTACAATATGTATTTACAAAAAAAAATTCTAAGTATTTGTATCAGTTATCTAGTACCCATAACATAAGCTTTAGCTAGCTTAACTTGGATCTAGAGGGCATCTGTATGAATTGTCCTGAGATTATTATTAATATATAATATAATTATTTTGCTAATTTCTTGTACACTTTTTTCAACGAGGCTTATATCCCATTACTAGAAGATAACCGGAACTTTATTTGCAATATACTCTTCGCTATTTCATACTTCATCTCAAGTAATAACATCATGACCTTGCCTTTATCCCACTGTTCGTGATTTGCAGTATGTCATCTTCTTCCATTGATCCCTATCAACCGTCATATTTAACATTATTCTCGTTTATACATCATCACACAATCCATCCATCTTTTTTTCGGTCGTCTTCTCCTTTTTCCTTCATCCACGTTCATGTTAAATATTTTCGTTAAGACATGGTGCTCGCTTTTCTGTATAACATGCCCATATTGAATCAATTTTCAATTTAGACCTCGCAGTATCTCTACTTTCATCATCTCTAGTATATCTATGTAAAATATTAAACAATTTGAGAGTCCACCTGACTGTAACATCACTGTGTTATATCACGTCATCCCGTGAAAATTGTTTTAAATCTCATTCTCCTGCTTTTAATTTCATTGCAATATCTCATTCTCCTACCAAAGTCTTACTAATTAAGGCTTCGTACAAACTCTACTTACGATATAAGATTATTATATGTTCTTTATTGCACTTAAATACATTTTTACGTATATTAAATAGAAATAATGTTAACAAAGGAGGATTTATTTGTAAAAAATGTCTCTTCCAGTCAACATAATAGAGCGTGGCATAGGAAGTGTTGTGTGGGTCAAATTACATAATATATAATAATTTAATACAAATATCAATACAATATATTTAAATAAGATATAATATATTAATATACATAAGTTTTAAGTTTATCTAGAGGATAGGGTGCAAACTTTAGATATTGATGGTGTAAAGTCTAAGGGAACTAATATTAAAATGGGCGTTCCTCAAGGTTCAATCTTAGACCCATTTCTCTTTTTAATTTGTATAAATGACCTTTATTTGCGGATGATACTTCATTAGTGTTTAAAATTGGTCGCTAATGTAATCAATTAGACGATGTAAATTATGCTATCTCTGATATATTAAATTGGTTCACAGTAATAGTCTATTATTAAACTCCAACAAAACTAAGTGTATTAAATTCACGCTTCCTAATGTTAGTCAAGTAAATACGCAGCTATTGCTTAATGATGAAATAATACATTTTGTTAATGATACAGTTTTTTTAGGAATAACAGTGGACTCGAAGTTACAATGGGGGTCCTATATTTCAAAATTAGCCAATAGACTTAGTTCTGCTGCTTATGCAATTAGAAGGATAAGGCAATTAACAGACGTGGCGACGGCAAAACTTGTATATTTTAGTTATTTCCATAGCATTATGTCATATGGCATACTGCTATGGGGTAAATACTATATTTATTTTACAAAAGACAGCCATACGTTCTACTAGAGTCATTACGTCAATGCTTTAAATCAAATATCCTCACCGTTGCCTCACAGTACATTTATGAAAATATTGTGTATACAAGGAAAAACTTAGATAGTTTCAAGAAAATTAAAGCCTATACAAGTAGAAACTTACGCAATAAAAATAAATGCCTAATTTTACCTAAATACGGTCTACAAAAAGTTAGTAATTCATTTTATGGTAATTGCGTAAGATTCTATAATAAACTGTCAGAATCTACGCTAAATTTGACAGAGAGGCAATACAAATTTTATATTGAACAAATGTTATGTAAAAGAGTCTATTTGCGGACAATGTTATAATTTGTTTTTCATACTGCTTTCTTGATATATGATAGCGTAGCGGCTTTTGTATTGATTGCCGCATGCATCCTCATGTAAAGTGCGAATACTGTAACTACCATATAGTAATTTTAAGTAGCTGTGACGTGGTGGAGTGGAATGAGTAGTCATGCTCACTAAAATGTCCAGATATGTGGCGGCGTGGTGGGCCGGGTCAATGGGCTCCCTAAAATATGGTGGCAGTGATGGCTGGCTCATCTGTCATACTCGTGAACGGGTGCTGTTTGTAGGGACTGGAGTCTGCTCTTATCACTACAACTAATTTAATCTTATTGCATATTTATATTTGACCCAAAAAATTAGTGCTGGTTGGTAATTTGTATTCACACGTTTCCACTTGTAAATGTAAACTTACAAGGATTATTTAAAAGAGTAACGCACAAGTTTCTAGCTCGTTCTTCTTGTGATGATGATGAGACAGCTTTCCAAACGAGCGGTAGATAAAAAAAAATGTTATGACTATTCAAAAGTGCTTAAATTAAGTTTATTTGAATAAATGATTTTCTATTCTATTTTTTTGTCTATTTTTCTAGATAGAGCATACAAATTGTATTGTGTTTTACTAATATTTACTTTTCTTTAACTGCTGCCGAAAAAGAAAAGCTAAGATAAGCTGTATCTGGAAAGTTTGAAATGCATTTCATGACTGGTGTATTTATTCGTCAAATACTTTATGAAGAGTAATACGAAATGTTCAAGGAACAAAATAGGGTTGCCAACCTTAAACTTTTTATCTCGTATATTGCTACTCCATACTTGTAGATAGCAATTTTTTGACGACTTGGGGAGTTACTAATAAAGTTAAGGTTGTCACTTATTATTTTTTCAATATTTTTTTATTTTTAAAAATTAAAAAAATGTATTAAGTGTACGTATTTACTGTAGACAGGTGAGACAATAATAAATAGTATATCTGTTAAATAGTAGTTAGTGCCTTTGAAATTTTTCATAGTTGTTTTTCTGTAATCGTACCAATGTAACCTAAATATATTTAAATCAGAACTTTATAGTTGTGTTGAACATAAATAATAACCCAGAACAATCCACATAGCGTCATCTAGTCTCAAATTTAGCAGATCTGGCTTTGTGCTTTAATATATTTATTTTGTAAATATATAAATAAAATCGAGACATGACCGATTCCCACGAAAACAGACCAAATCTTTTGACTACCGAGGTCGTCAGAATCAGATGTATCTTGCCTACGAGGTTTATACCTCATAATTTAAAAATCTTGTACACATATATTAAGTACAGTTGCCAACCCTGAAGGAGATATAACTCGTCAATTTGGAACCTTTTTAAATTACTTTTTGTTGCAGAGCTCCGCGTGTGGGGCCGTCCGGAATTCCTGCCGGCTTTAGAAGGGGTGAACGAGAAAGTTTCCCGGGTGTTCACCGAGATAGCGGCAATGTGGAGGGTGGCGCTGCCTCTCCGCCGGCTGGACATCGTCGCGCTGCCCAACTACCAGGGCGTGAAGCCGGCCGACAACTGGGGACTTATTGTTTTCAAGTGAGTAATCGAATATATTTTTTATGGATGATAGTGCAATGCTCCATCCGCCTATCTCAATTATTCCCAATATTTTTTTTTAAATCCAAAATACAAACTACCATACTCATGAGTATAACTCGCATCCTCGTCGCCATTGAGAAATATTGCAGATAGGAATAAAATAGGTGTTTTTACTTAATGGCCTTTGAAATTTACATATTGAAATTAAAAGCGGATGAAACCGCAGGCATAGATAGTATCATTATTATTTATATGTTTATTATACTATACATGTAGTTACATATAATCTGATTGCTATTTTTTGTTTGTTATTATTATCATATATGTATCTATTTTTACCACTCCACTATTCCTTACAGTCATTCAAAGGTTGAATGGAAGAAATCCCTCATTTGGGATTAGTCCGCCATTGTTCAATTTATTTTTTAAGATGTTTTTATTTTGTTATTTTAACTGTTACTGTACAATAAAGTGTTGTACCAATGTAACTTTGACTGTTAAACTTTCTCTCACTTCTACGACACAGCCAAGTGTGGTGTGAGATAAAATGTTATTTAAGTTAAGTTTTCTGAAATAAATGTTATTTTTATAAGAAACCCGCCGTCAATCAGCATTACGCAGACGGAGAGGCCGCTAGTGCTAATATACTTACAAACAAAATCAATATGCAAAAATAGAACATCACTAGAAACCTTGAAGGGAGAAGGGTTACGCCAGTGCCTTAGTACAAGGACAAGCCTGTTACTAATTTAGAATTATCGCCTTTAAATAGGTACATTATCTGTGTAAATTATGTTGGGTCGACACAAGGTCGCTGATAAACGCAATTTACTTGCCACTATTTAGAACTGACTCTTTTAAAGATAAATTGAGCAATGTATTGGGGCCCTAAGTTCTGTGTTTTAAAGACAAAATCTGTATAAAGAACTAAAATTGAATTGTCTGTTTATAATTTCAATTTAATAGCTGTTTAATAAATGCATAAGAAATTATGAGCAGTTTTGGCGGAACTTCCACACGCATATAGCTAATGTTATAAGAAGTGACTTGCGATACTTTTTTTTTAGAAAAGTTTGAGAGTTTAATAAAAAAATGTTAAATTACACGGGTTTTAAAGTATTGGGTTGAATGTGGGTGGATCATAAGAGCAGTGGAAGGTCGAAAAAGATCTCTTTTTCGGCCTTCCACTGCTTACACATATCATCTTTCACAAAGTTTGTCCCCCTGGATAAACTTTGTGATGGATGGACTTTGGGATAAAGATGATACGGCAAGGGAATGAATATCGAGATGACTGCGAATAAAATATGGAAGGAAAAAATTCAAATGAATAGGATATGGAAGAAGCAGATTATGACAGAATCTAATATAAATGCATTGTGAATAAAGATAGATACTGTAGAGAGTAGACAATGAATGATTCAAGTAATTGACGGCCTCTGTGGTCTTGCGTTTTAGGACACAGGTTCAACTCTTCGTACGGTGCAATGATTTGTATTCATGAAGGTCTGAATGCTTTCTACTTTATGTACGTGTTTTATGTTAATATATTCACAAAAAAGTATTTTAATTTGAATATCATTTGTTTAGTGCCCGTAACACAAGCTCTGTAGATTATTAGATGGCGCTGTGTGAATTGACTTGAAATAGAAAGAAAGAAAAAAATATTTGTTCAGTGCTTTTCAACAATGTTACAATATAAAAAACAAGCAAAAGAAAAAAATATTAAATAAAATATATATATAATTAAACTTACGTTACCATGTAGATAATTAAAAATAAACATAAAATAATCACTTTTTACATACATATAGGCACTGAAATGGCTCGACTCAGCTTTAATGTATGTCCTATATGAATAATATTAAATATTAAAAAAAAATCTTTTTCTTCCTTTGTAGGGAGAGCGATTTAAGTAATAAGGGCTACCTTCAGCTAGCTCAGGAGTTGTCTTACCAATGGCTCGGGGCTCTCACGACCCCAGCTTGGTGGTCTGACGCTCATCTCAATAAAGCATTAGTGGGCTATCTCGCCGCTGAAATAGCCTTTAAGGTAAGTATACATGTAAAGTGTAACTGTAGGTTAAGATTAATGTCATTGACGGCGTCGGTGGTTACTTCCGATGGTCGCGAGTTCGACTCCTCGCACGGTACAAACATTTGTATTCATATATATATATAGATATAATGGATAGAAGGATGGATAGAAGGCAAATAAAATCTTTTATATTTGTCTACCTTCACACGTCTTCGTTTGTTGCTACTATTTAGTTATAACATTATAAAATCCAGTAATTTTTCTTAATAAATATTGACCGCGTCAAATTTAATATACTATTTCATTTAGTACTAGCTGTAGCAGTTTGATCCGTATTAAATTTCAATAAAAAATTTAGCCTATGTGTTATTCAGATGCAAAAGTTATATTACTGTAAAGTTTCATTAAAATCCGTTCAGTAGTTTTTGCGTGAAAGAATAACAAACATCCATACTCACAAACTTTCGCGGTTATAATATTATTAACATTAGTAAGATACATAACATCTTTTTAAATTATAGCTTATGTGTTATTCTAATGTATCAGCTATATTACTGTAAAGTTTCATCAAAATCCGTTTAGTAGTTTTTGTGTGAAAGAGTAACAAACAACCGTCCATCCATACTCACGAACTTTCGCGTTCATTTCTTAAATTTTTATTAATATTCAATAAGATTAGTAAAATGCATGAATTTAGTACCTACATTATTTAGTTTTTGGAAAAAAACTTGTAGATCAATAACGGATCGGAAATGGAAGGCAAATGGCCAATGACGGTACTCTACTCCCTGTACTACGAGTTTAGTAAACGGTATCCTCATTCGCGCATCACCGGCATGAAGCAAGAAACAGCGTGCACCAAAATAGAGTTATTATTTAGAATGTTCAACTATACTCTCGGTGGTGATACTTTTAAGAAGGCACTGAGGGTGTTCATTGAAACACGGTAAGTCATTTGTAAATTTTCCTTGTCTCTGTACATTATTTCTTTTATTTTGTTTGCATTCCCTCGCTTCTCGTTAATATTATTTACTACCTGACCGGCTTCGTCTGCATCACACTTATCATTATATATCGCTCAATTTACATAATATATTTTTAAATTATAGCCTATGTGTTATTCTATAATATAAGCTATGTTACTGTAAAGTTTCATCAAAATCCGTTCAGTAGTCTGCGTGAAAGAGTAGCAAACGTCCATCCATACTTACAAACTTTTGCATTTATAATATTAGTAAGATATATTTGATATACCATGCGATTTTAGTCATTGTGCCCAATGTTCTATTTTTTTTTTTAATTCTTGATTATTAAATTAAAATCAGTGAGCATTTTTTTAACAACTATCTTAATAACGTCTAATTTTTTCCATATTAAAGGAAAGTAGAAGTTTTATATTTTGGTTTCAAAGAATTATATCTTGAAATATTTGGATTGGACACGAAACTACAGTTTGATTATGAAAAAATAAAAAAATTGTAATATAAATTAACTAGCTATGCCCGCGGTTTTATTCTAGTGAAATTTATAGGCTACGTGTTATTCTGTAGTATAAGATATGTTATTGTAAAGTTTCAATAAAATCTATTCAATAGTTTTTGACACACACAAACAAACATCCATCCATACGGATGTTTGTTACTCTTTCACGCAAAAACTATTGAAAAAGTAATCTAAATATATATAATTCAAAAGTGACTGACATAGTGATCTATTAACGCACAGCCTAAACCACTGGACGGATCGGGCTGAAATTTGGCATGCAGGTAGATGTTATGACGTAGGCATCTATCTAAGAAAGGATTTTGATTAATTCTACCTCCAAGGGGATGAAAGTTTGTGTAAAACTTTGTCAATTTTAAACCGATCGGGCTGAGACTTTGCATGTATAAAGCTACTATGACGTAAGCATCCCTTAAGATTTTGATAAATTCCATCCCTAGGGGGATAAATTAACGCGAGCGAAGTCGCGGGCAAAAGCTAGTCATTAATATATATTACAATGATTCCAAGTATGGACTTGGAATCATTCGTGTTTATAATATTAGTTCTGAATGAATTTATGATATTTTTTATGTACAGTAAATTTAAAACGTTCACTGGCAATGACATCTGGAATGCTCTGACTACTGCTGCAATTGAAGATGGCAAGATACCAAAAGACTTCGACATCAAGACAATAGCTAAAAGCTGGATCGACAAAGACAGGCTGCCACTGGTTACAGCTAAGAGAAATTATGACAGCAACTCAGTTTTACTTACGCAGGTTTGTATTTTATTTAGATAGGTCTAGCGGTTTAACACCGCTTTATTTCCGATGCTCGCGGGTTCAATTCTTCACACAAACTTATGGGTATTATTGTTTGTATTGGTTACAAAAAAAATCTAAATATATATATCAGTTGTCTAATACCCATAACACAAGCTCTTCTTACCGGGACTTGATGGCGCTGTGCTAATTGTCTAGGGATATTTATTTATTTAGATACATGATTGGAAATTATGGACGTAGTAAGCTATTTTTTTGTTTGAAGTGAACTTGATATCATCATCTACTTCTTTTGTAACCCCTTCTTTTGCGTTTGTAATATGTTTTTCTTTTCCATTTATTTCATCTTTTACACTGTCCATCCATCTCTTTTTCGGCCCTCCTCTGGCCTTATCATCTCTTTGCCCTAATCATCAACATTCATATACATTCATATTCATCGTAATATTTTCTTTAAAATATTCTAATCTTTATTAGTGACAGCGACGCGCACGTTTTGCCCCTGGTGTTTCAGTCGTCCATAGGCTACGGTAATCATTTGCCATCAGACAGGCCGTATACTTGTTTGCCACCATAGTAGTATAAAAATATATTTTCATTCCTATAATTGACTGTTATTTTTCAACTTCTCCGACACCAGCGCCACTTTCATACTTACTCTAGTGTATTCATTCTTTATCTTGTCCATTCTTGTCACACCACACATCCATCTCAACATTCCCTTTTCAGTTGTATGCAGTCGTCTTTCATCTGTCGCCTTTGAGGTTTACAATGCCCAAAAATATACGTAATAATATAGATATAGTTACAGTACAAGGATTTATCTTAGGGATTTCTTCCGGTCAAGCATAAAGTAACTATACGGGGTTTATCTAAAGGCAAACGGAATTTATTTCTGAATAAATAATACGGGACAAAAATAAAAAGTTTTTTTTTTTATTCTTACATTTATTTAGGCACTTTTATCATAATATGATAATGCCAGTCCCATCATATCTTATTACTAATCTTAAATATAAAAAGTTATGCTTACATACATACTGTAGAACTTTGACGTTCTGGGTGGTCAAACCGATTTAAATCCGAAGGTTGCAGGTTCGATTGCTTGCGAGGTATAAATATTTGTATTCATGAGTATGATTGTATCGGTCTGGGTGTTTTTTATATAGCGTCATGTAGAGTAGACAAACGAAGTAGAGCCTGTGTTATGAGTACTAGACAACTGATACAGATTTTTAGATATTTTTTTTGTAAATACATATATGTACATAATATATATATATAGAAAACACCCAGATGGATACAAATTATAATACTAATGAATACAAGTGTTTCCATTCTGGGAGGAATCGAACTCCCGACCATCAGAGGTAAAGCAGTGTGCTAAACTCGAGGCCTTTAATAGTATTTAAAGTGTATTTACAATCCTGGTTAATGTAAGTAAATTACTAAATAAAGAATATACTTTCAGAAAGTGTTTCTTCGTGAGCGACCACATGATGTCCCTGACGCGGGTCGCATGTCCTGGTGGACACCCATCATCATTGCACGGGAAGATAAGCTTAACTTCACAAATGTAACACCATTAGCTTGGATGCGGGATAGGAAAGAATTAACACTTAATAACATGCCCAACAAAGATCATTTTATTATCTTGAATCCAGAGGAGATAGGTAAGACTAATTTATTGTTAATTTTTTATCGTTATATTATATTGTTAATTAGTATTGTTAATTTTGTTTGTTGTTATATTAATAAATTGTTAATATAGTATTGTTAATTTTCTAACAAAATGTTATATAACAATAACCTCGGACAGTCATCTAGACCCAAGCTAAGCAGAGTTTTTGTTATGAGTATTAGACAACTGATACAAATACATAGATACATTTTTTTTGTAAATACATACATAATATACAGAAAACACCCATAACCCCGATGGTCAGGGGTTTAGCACACTGCTTTACTCCAATGACCGCGGGTTCGATTCCTCACACGCAAACAATTGTATTCATGAGTATCATCGTTTGTATCGGTTGGTGTGTTTTCTATGTATATTATGTATGTACATATTTAAGAAAAAAAATGTATATGAGTATTTACATCAGTTGTCTGGTATCTTTATAGATACCAGACAACTGATGTAAATACTCCATAACACAAGCTCTGCTTAGCTTGGGACTAGATGGCGCTGTGTGAGATGTTCAGAGATATTATTATTACTTAGAAAAAGATTATATTAATTTTGGATGAGATATCAGCATTACAGCAGCATTGAGATATAGATAGATAAATTCTTTATTCACAATTACAGACACATAACATACATGAGATACAGAAAAACACGAATTAACAAAAGAAATGTAGGATACCTACATTTCTTTTATTAATTCGTGTTTTTATAAATTTTAGTTAGTTAATATAAATTATAAATATATCACCTAGAAATGTAATATACGATATACCAAAACATGCAATATTATGCTTAATCTGTAAATCTAGAATGGTAGTGTCATCTATAGTTAACTGGAATAGATGCGTTAGTATCACGGATATCACATGATGACATGATGTCTTTGATACTGTTCATATATGGTATGCATATGAGCTGACCTGCGCAACTTCGCAAATTAGAGTGTCTGTTTGTAATATTGAAATAACCGTTTTTTACTACATGCATATGAATATAAATACGCTACATACACCAAAATAACATTTTTTACAATCTTTGTCTGTTTGTCTGTTTGTTCCGGCTAATCTGTGAAAGCCATTTCGGAGATACAGTAAAGTGAAATTCCACGCGGACAAAGTCGCAAGTTCAGCTAGTTAATAATAATAATAATAAAGCCTATATTCAGATATTAATTTATTTACATTTTACATTTCCTAACATTTATACATATATCTGTTTGCTAACAAGCATAGGTCTCCTCCAACAGTCTCCAGTGGTCTCTATTGTTAGCAGTTCTTGCCCAAGTACCACCTGCCACCACTTTGATATCATCTATCCATCTTCTGTACGGTCTTTCACCTTTTTATATCTTTTGTGTACTAATGCATTATTGTTTTGCTCCATTTACCTTTTCCCCTTATGACACATCCAAATAATAAGATAAGGACCCAAATATTTATAGTAACATGTACTTTACAAATAAAGATCTACAGAAGCATAATAGCTATACCTATCTTGTTCTTTTACAATAACAGTCTATAAAATATGTCTGTCCCACGTTTGGTTTGTTTGCATTTTCTAACTAAATTTGTTTTAGGGCCTTTCCAAGTAAATTACGACAAAGAAAACTGGAATCTACTATCGCAATACCTTCAAGGGGAGAACCGCAAATTGATCCCAGCACTGACTCGAGCGAAGTTATTACACGATGCCTGGAACCTCGCCTATGCTGGTGAACTGTCGTTCGCAACGGCCTTAAATATGACTCTGTTCCTGAAGGATGAGAAAAATCATATCGTCTGGGACCCTGTATTTACTATGATAGATCATATTGGTAGACACGTGTGTCAGTGTTTGCAAGAAAATTTCCAGGTAAGTACAAAATTTTTGCATTAGATGTTTTAATAGTAATAAGCATACGGCACATCTGATAGTAAACGGTTTCCACTTTTTTTCTTTATATTTTTATAGTATAGTGGCAAATAAGCATACGGCCAATCTGATAGTATACGGTTCCCGTAATCTATCGACGCCTGAAATACCAGGGGTGACACGTGCGCGTTGCAAGTGACGGTAACAACATTTTTTTTATACTACGATGGCAGCAAGCTGATAAACGGGTACCATAGCCTATGGACGCCTAAAACACCAGGGGTGTCACGTGTGCGTTGCCGACCCTTAAGAAACTTTATTCTTGAAAAACCCCATGCTGTAGTCGAGAAGCTCTAGTAGCTCGAGAAAACCTCGGCAGGTAGTTCATTCTACAAGTGTACGCGGGAGGAAGCTTCTCTCAAACCGCACTGTCCGAGACCACTTAGGTTCCATCGTGTGGGGATGAATGTTCTTTTCAAATCCAGAATGTCGTAACAGCCAACTAGTATTTGTTTTTTGTTCATCTACCTGCAGTTGGCGGTTATGACATTCTCGATTTGTAAGAAAAGGAAAACTCATAATCTATAAGTACATAATTTTTCATCAATCCATTTCAAACCCATAATGTCGTAACAGCCAACTAGATGTATTTGTGTTTTGTTCATTTACTTTTAGTTGGCGGTTACGACATCCTGGATTTGTAAGAAAAGGAAAACTCATAAGCTATAAGTACATAGTTTTCCGTCAATCCTTTTCAAATACAGAATGTCGTAACAGCCAACTAGATGTATTTGTGTTTTATTCATCCACTCGTCATTGGCGGTTACGACATCCTGGATATGCAGAACATGGAAATTCTTAGGACTCTATTCTAAATAACCTAGTCAGCCTGGTACTTGAAAACCTTCTATATTGAGCACTGAAAATATATAGTTGTTAACACATTAATAAAAACTTCATTGTAGAAAGGAATATATTATTAAGTGTGTGTGATCTTAATTTTTATTTAAAAATTTTTATTTTGAAAAATTAAAAATATTAATACTCTTCATCGTAATAAGCAACATTGATAGTACATATAGGATATGAGAATAAATAAATAACCCTAGATAATTAACACAGCGCTATCTAGTCTCAAAATAATAATAATAGTAATCTCAGGACAATTCACACAGCGCCATCTGGACCCAAGTTAAGCTAGCAAAAGCTTGTGTTATGGGTACTAGATAACTGATACAAATACATAGATAATTTTTTCCGTAAATACATACATAATGTACATAGAAAACACCCAGACCGATACAAACAATCATACTCATGAATATAAATGTTCGTGCCGTGCGAGGAATCGAACCCGCGACCATCGGAAGTAAAGCGATGTGCTAGACCGCTAGACCACCGAGGTCGTCAGAAAATAAATATATATAGATACACTCATAAATACAAATGTTTGCACAGTGCAAAAATAAATTGTATTTACTGCTGTATATCATTGAATATCACTATCAAAGAGCGAGAAAATAGAACAGGAAAGAGTTTAAACTAAAAGAACAACATAGGGAGAAAGCAACGTAAGTAAAAATATTTCTAGTGAACAAAATGAAGCACTGAAAGAATTTCTGTATGTACCTGTAGCTTCAAAAGGCTTTCAATAAATGTGCTAAAAGCTCCTTTTTAGAGCAATGAATGTGAATTAAAGGATTATCTGAAGACTGAGGATTCAAATCTAATACCTATTTGTTGTAAATTAAATAAGTATAGTATACTCCTATACATATATATCCTTCATTATATATATTCTCGTGACTAAACGTAAATACACCGCTTTACTTCCGATGGTCACGAGTTTGATTCCTGGCACGGTGTAAACATTTGTACTCATGAGTATGTTTGTATGTATAGGTCTGGATGTTTTCTATGTATATTATGTATGTATTTATAAAAAAAAATCTAAGTACCCATAACGCAAGCTCTGCTTACCATGGGACTAGTTGACGCTGTGTTAATTGTCCAGAGTAATTTATTTCTCACTTTGGGGTTTTTATAATGCAGGCATACGTTCGGACCCTTCTAAGTCCTCTGTATGAGGAACTCAAAGTCGAAAGGGAAGATGAAGAGAATTGGCGCAAGAATCTTCGCTCTCTTACCAAGACGTTCCTCTGTCAAGCTGGATACAAGGAGTGCGTAAAAGAAGCCCAGGCTGAGTACAGCAAGTGGATGTTGTCTCCCAACCCTGATGAAGGCAATCCGTAAGTAACTTAATTTTAGGAATATTTTGTACTTTTTTATGGAATTGAAATATTTATTGTTTTCATTATTATTTTGTTTATGTGGATTGTCGATAGCATTATTATAAGTACAAATATAAGTTACATTAGATTGTATAGAATCGACTTAACTTACAAGTTTAATAAGCACAGGAAAAATTTTAATTTGTATGTTGTACATTTACAAGTAATGTCTAAAAATGAGATCGAACTGAACCCATCGAGAAATAACGGATAAGCATAATAGCTTATCATCGTCACAGATTACATTGTGACGTTTTTTTTCAAGCTATGATAATGGAATGATGCTTCCGCTTACGAGGTCGTGGTTTCGATTTCTCGCACGGTATAAACATCTGTCTGTTCATGTGTATAATTGTATTAGTCTGTTTTCTTTGTATACGTTATGTATTACGTATGGATTTACTAAACAAAATTATGATACTCGTATATCAGTTATCTAGTGCCCATAATACAAGGTCTGCTTAACTTATAGGACTAGATAAGTGTGTAAATTGTCCTGAGTTATTATTATTTTCGTTAATTTCACTATTCTATCTCGCTCCTCAAAGAGAGTTATTCACGCTTACGACTCTACAGTCTACCTTTGTATTAAGAACCCTTTAATTCGAGGTGGATATCTATCAAAGACAAACGTTATTTAGGTAAGCTTTCAGACTGTTGTGTGTCTCGTACCCTGTAAACATTCAATGACCCATTTAAACAGTGAATTCGCAAAGAAATCTAAAATCTCAGTGAGCATGCAACAAGCGACAAGTAAGCCACATCAAAAGCAAGGAATGTGTTTCTGGTTTGCTTATTCCGGGACACATACGCGACATATTTTAACTTTCAAAATGGATTAAATGTTTAACTTCATCTAAATGAATATTCGAAATGTTTGTAAACATATATTTGGTCATTGTTTCAAGCAACTTTCGAATTCTTGACACGAATTTCCAATTCCCTCCGATCTATCAATTTCAAACGGGGATCGAAATGCCGACGGCCGTAGCCGAGGTTTGAACCCCTAGTGGTGTACTCAGACTAAAGTTGTACCCGTCAGGTGGAAGTTGCCTTAGAGCCGCTCCATAAGTTCTTCCGCGAGTTTTCTTAGAAAGAGTTATCAGTGAAGTTGTAAAGGCCAGTTGCGGTCAACAACATTAGAGTAGTCCGAAAAAAACTTTTTCAGATATTAATAAAGTAAATAAACGTATCGTAAACATATTATAGATTAAGTTAGTATTACCTTTGATTAATGGAATCACTTTCTAATGGTAAAAGCAATGGTATTTCCGAACCAATACGATATTGAAACCATAAAGAATAGAGGATTTGCCTCTATTCTTCGTATTGGTTACCAACTGCATTACCAACCTTTTAAGAAGGTATTTCCTAATAGGTTGGTAACGCAGTTCCAATTTGCCTGGTGTTGCGTAACTCATGATGTACTTACCATCAGATAAACGGCAAGCTCGTTTATCCACTGCGCTATAAAAGAAACGGCAAAGAATCTAGAAAAAAGTTTAAAACAATTTGTACACTTACCGCTACGTCAAAAGGCTATAAATCCATCCTTCAAGCGTTGCTCGATTAAGGAGACAATGTAAGAGCCTAATTCAATTATCATTTTATCGTTGGGACGGTAATGGTGGAGGATGTTTCGGACCTATGTGCACTTTGTTTTCCGCCTCACCGGTTTTATTTGATTAAAATCTTATTTCTACAAGATTATGACGGAATTCCTCACGACCTTACTAAGGTTGTGGTCCATAGTGATCTTTATAAGTATACACTTATATACGTATATAGTATTCCTCAATAAATGTAGTTTCTGAGATTAATACGGTCAACCTAACAAACTCTCCAGCATTATAATAATAACTTAGTGAGTCAGCTTTATATTAAAATCTTAGACAGTCACGGTGGTCTAGAACTTTGATTGTAAACATTTGACGTAGCCTTACTTTTGATAGTAGCCGGTTCGATTCCTCCCACGGTACAAACATTTGTATCTATGAATATGCTTGTTTGATCTGGATATTTTATATTTTGTATAATATATATTTACAAAAAAAGTATCTATATATTTATATCATTAGTAGGTATTCTTATTAGTTTTCTAGTACTCATACAAGTTCTACTTAGCTTGGGACTAGATGGCGCTGTATGAATTGTCCTGAGATATTATCATCTTACATATAAAGTTCTCGTGTCACAATGTTAGTTACCATACTCCTCCGAAACGGCTTGACCGATTTTTATGAAATTTTATATGCATATTCAGTATCTGAGAATCGGCTACTATCTATTTTTCATACCCCTAAGTTATAAGGGTTGTTCACCCCTAACATATAGTTTTAATTTTGGACAACATTTTAATTTTTTTACAATATGGCTTTAAAAATTTTTAATAGTGATTTTAATTTATATGACGAAACAACGTTTTTGGGGTCAGCTAGTTATCTATATATTAATATTGAAGCAAAACCTTTGTACCCCTTTTTACTAAAGGGGACGTACCTTATATTTGCCACACACAAGCATATATACTGTTTTTTTATTGTTAAAATCTGTAGTTAAATTGAGAATCTTGGAGTGTCTGTTTGTAATATTGAAATAATCGTTTTTCACTACACGCATATGAATATAAATACGGTACATTACATACACTAAAATAACATTTATTACAATTTTTGTTTGTCTGTTTGTTCTGGCTAATCTCTGAAATGGCTGGACCGATTTTGACGGGACTTTTTTTAGCAGGTAGCTCATGTAATAAGAAGTAACCTAGGCTACTTTTATTTTAGCAAATGAAAGTTAAATTCCACGCGGACGAAGTCGCGGTGAACAACTAGTAGATTAATATTATTGATCTTTAATATTATATGTCTATTGCCTAGTTAGTATAGATGTGTTATTTATTTTCTTCTACGTTATCACAACTTAACTGAGTTGATATTTTCTAGCATTTCCAACCAGTACATCTGTCCAGTTTTCGCATGGGGAAGCAGGAAGGAATGGCAGTTCGGTCTGCAGAGAGTCATCAACTTCCCTCCGTCCAGAAAACAGAGTGAGAGGACATATCTGCTGAAGACTCTGGCAGGTTGTCCAAACACCAACGACAAAATCTTTAGGCTTTTAGAAGTAGCCGTCTTAGAAGGCAATGGAAATTTCACGGAAACTGATCTGTTCCTAATATTCAGTATGTTGACTGGAAGTCCAGTGGGCTATACTTCACTCTTTACATTTTTATGCAGTAATTGGGCGGTGCTGAAGGAAAAGTGAGTATTGATTTACGCCCTTGATAGTCTACACTTTACTTCCGATGGTCACTGGTTCGATTCTCCACACGACAAACATTTGTAGTTATGAGTATGATTGTTTGTATAGGACTGGGTGTTTACCGTGTGTATTATGTATGTATATTAAAAAAAATATGTATTTATATCAGTTGTCTAGTATCCATAAGACAAGCTCTGCTTACCTTGGGACTAGATGACGCCGTGTGAATTGTCCAAGGATTATCTTATTGTAAAAATGAACTCACGTTTGTTAGTCTTGCGAATGGCTGGCACAAATTGATCCAGTCCAGCAATTTTTTTTTTAATATTTATAGAACTCCAAGGAAGTGTAAGTGGTGAGAAAATATTGGAAAAAAATGCATGGAAAACAGTAACAAACAACTATTTTATTTTCCCATACAAACTCTTCATACCTGTCAAATGGGGTGCGTTCAAAAAATATAGTAAATAAACTTCAAAAAACCTTCGACATATTATTCAATTCTGAGGCGGAATGGAGTTCACTGGGTCAGCTAGTTATTAATAATTTTCCACATAAAACTAAAATATAAAGAAATTCAAGTACGTACCAATTCAATAAATAATTTTTTTACACAATACTTGCAGGTTTTCAAGCAAAACAAACCTATGGGACAACTTAATTACATCCGCTACATCGCAATTTACAACTCAAGAGGGTCTCGATTTAGTATCAAATTTGTATGTAGCCCACCAAGGGGAGTTTGGGTCTGCAGAACACATAATTGAAAAGTCCATGAGGAACATTAGAGAAGAAGCTAAATGGTCTGATGAAAATGTACCAGTAATAGAAGATTGGCTCGTTTCATACCTAACTAGTACTAATTATGAAAGCAACAAGCATTTACATGTTCAATAATATACGGTTATATTGGTTTAATGTTTTCTTAGACACGTCACGTTAAGAAGTTCTAACACACGGATTTAACTGTAGGTGTTAATAGGTTTACCAACTCCCAGTTTAAAGGAGACTAATCTAGTTTATATCAGTTTAAATGTTAATCCCTTTATTATTGTAATATACTTAAACCATTAATTGTTCTTAATTGCAAACCACAGATTAAAATATAGAAATGTGATTTGAAAAAATATATGTTATTTTAACACCAAAATTTAGTAATACTTTAAAAAAACTTCTTATTGATATTATCGAAATTTCTAGGTATAAAGCTTTAATTACTTCAATATATTGCCAAGCAAGAAACATATTTATACATATACATGATCTATTTATACATATACATGACCTAAGGCTGACTAAGAAGCAATATTATATTTAAATGACTGTTATATTTAGATTGAATTGCGAGGAAAATGCTTGTATAGTATAACCGACGTATAGTATTACAATATAAGATTTATTTAAGAAAATCATTAATTGAAAAACTCATCTATTGCAGAATAATATTCAGCATAATTACAAAAATCGACTTTTAGACGTTCAAATCTGTTTTAACTGATAAATATCATCTACATTTCGACAGCCTCGGTGGTCTAGTTTAGCACACCGCTTTACTATCCGATGGTCGTGGGTTCAATTCGTCGCACGGTATAAACATTTTGTATTCATGAGTATGATTGTTTGTATCGATCTGGGTGTTCTTTATGTATAATATGTATTTATTTACAAAAAAAATGTATCCATGTATTTATATCAGTAGTCTAGTACCCATAACACAAGCTCTGCTTAGCGCTGTGTGAATTGTCCTGAAATATTGTTATTTACATTTAAACTTTTGTACAGTTCTGTTCTAGAACATTATTTTCTTCAATTTTGTAACAGATTTTAGTAAATCTTTGTGCACTAATATTTTCTATATCTTCTGAAACATCCAAAATATAACAAATACTCTGAAACTGTAATCTTTCAAAATTGTGTGATTCTGATTGAATAAATAAATAAAAATAACTTGGCACATATTTTAAGGCATATATTGTGGTATATACAGGGTTTTGAGATTTATTTCTATAATTTATATTTACTGCATTTTTTATAATAATAATAATAAAGTGAATTTGTAATACATATGGAAAATTTACGATAGTAAACAAATTATTATATATGAATTTAATTGAATTAATCAGACATAGGCACCATTGTTATTACTAAGCTATGTAATTATTTACAACTTTTTGAAATGAAATAAATAACAAATCAGTATAACTATTTGTTTTTTTATTAGCTTTTAAATGGTTCATGTTATACGAATACATATAAGTACATAAACATTTTATGAGTAATTCTCAGATACGAGAATAACTTAATCTCGCCAATATTGAGAATATCTATTAATTAATTTATATTGTTAACCGACATATGATTTTATGGTAAATAAAATGTTTTACCTGTCTCGACGTTTCGACTAGTTTGCACTAGCCGTGGTTATACCTTATTTACGACAAAATTTCTCGTGTTAAGACCCGGTTAATAATATAAATAATGTGTATTAAACAGGAAAGCTTAAAAATAACTATCTATGACTTGTTTTAATTATATGTATATATTCTTTATTGCATTTCGAAATATAATATATATAAGTAAGTATTATATAAGTAGTAGGAGAGATGTAGGGAGGCCTTTGCTTCGCTTTAAGGATTGCGTCAAACGTGACATGGCCACATTTCAAATAGACTACCGTGGCTGGGAAAAGCTCGCAACCAATAGATCAGATTGACGCAAACGCGTAATGGAGGGTCGAAGGGTTTGCGATGATGCTTGGCTTCAAAGGCTTGCTGACAAGAGACGGAAGCGCCACCTAGGCGGCTCAGGACAGACTACTGCCGATAGTTTCCCTTGTCGGGCCTGTGGTAGGCCATGCCGTTCTCGTATCGGTTTATACAGCCACGAAAAAAGCTGTTCACGGACCATTACGCCATAAATCGTCTATAATAGACGCATAGGCCATTATATATAAGTAGTAAACTTAATTATATAATACATAGGGTGAGTAAAGGTGGACTTATCTCTAAAAGAGATCTCTACCTAAAACAGCGTGACATATCTAATAATGAGTGGGTAACACTGGTGCAACTAAAAATATAATGTAGATGTGTTCAAATTTGAATATAATCATTTAAAATTCAACAAATTAAATAACATTTTAATTATCTTATCTTATATATAAAATTCTCGTGTCACATTGTTTTCGATCCCATACTCCTCCGAAACCGCTTGACCGATTCTCATGAAATTTTGTGAGCGTATTGAGTAGGTCTGAGAATCGGCCAACATCTATTTTTCATCCCCCTACATGTTAGAGGTAGTCCACCCCTAAATTTTTTTTTTATTTAAAGGAAAAACAAGGTTTGCCGGGACAGCTAGTAATAATATACAAAACAATAAATAAAATAAATATAATCAATCAAATCATTATTTTATATAGAACATTTTAGCTGCTTATGAACGTAAAAATTTTTGTATTAATATTATTTCCTACCGTCCAGTTCAATATACAGATTCCATTGAGAAGAACTGGCAAGAAACTGAATTATTTTTTTTAATAGCCAAAATTTTTTACATACATATGAAGGTGTCTATTTCTAATATGAAATGAAATGAACAACTATTGCCATGCACGTTTGTCATTCAAGTAATCGTTTAGTGTGTACTTACCTAAATCAAATCAAATCATTAATTTAATCATTCAAAGTATATAACATAAATAAAGGACATATAACATATTTATAACATATAAATATACTTACTATATACATAACCATAAATCTTATTATTATAAGTTATTTGTTACGAGTATAAATGCGAAAGTTTGTAAGCATGGATGTTTGTTACTCTTTCATGCAAAAACTACTGAACGAATTTTGATGAAACCTTACAGTAGTATATTTTATGCATCAGAATAACACACAGGCTATATTTTTTATTCAAATTTAACGCAGGTCAAACCGCGGGCACAGCTAGTACTATGTAAACACAAAGTATTAACAGTATTAATAAGGGAATAAGATTAACTTATTCTCCCGAGTTAGATAATTGTGTACGATCTGTAGAGAGGTTGATAGTAGCTAGAGCAATTTGAATTTACCTACATCGCCCAGCTAAACCACTTGCGAAGTCATGTCAGCCGCATAATGGAATTTTAGATATCGCAATATCTAATCTTGCGAATTATGCACTACATTTTGGATACGACTTTGTTTATGTATATTATACTAATTTGTAGCTACTAGAGTTGCAGAGTGGTCGAAATTCGATCATAATAAAAAATACAAAAACATCAATGAACTAATAACAAAATAAGAGTATATATGCGTGTATGTCAAATAAAAGATTACCAACAATACCATGAGTGTGAGTAATGTTTTTTTATTGATTTAATATGCGTGTATTTTTATGCATAATTAAAACAAAAATATTACTGTTTTCTTTCTCTGTCTAGGTACTATATGATACGAAATTTCATATTTCTCCGTCCGCACAATTTTCGTAAAAAGGGCAGCACAGGTATGGTATTTGGTACTATGAAATTAATATAAACCTATATAATGTAACTTAAAATTTAAAAATTATTTTTATCATTGCTATGTACCAAATAAACAACTTTATTTCTTTTCAAACTTTTTGATTCACTTATTATATAATGTTAAATGTATATAGTAAACGTAAAGCCAGTTCTATCCTGAAAACCTGACCGTAACTACTGGAACCGTTATGCCCTTCCATATTGGTGATCAAACTGCGACCCTCAGTTCCTGTCGCATTTTAGTTTCTGCAGAAGATACGTAATCGTTCAATAAGTATACAGTAATAGGTTCAGTGTATCTTAATAAAAGTTTTGAATCTGTAGAAGTAATGAAAATAGAATAGTAGAACGTACACTAGGACTTCATCTTGACATCTGTTTATATGTTTATATGTAAACGTATAAACTTTATAATTGACACAATTGACTACGAAAATAGATTTTTATACTTTAATAAAAAAAAACCGATACCAATATCAAACGGTTACTTAAAAAGGCATACTGATAACAACACAAAGTACAAAATAAAAAAAAGTAAACAACAAAAAACCTTACTTGATTATTTCCCTGTCACTAATAATTTCAACTGTTCACATCAGGTTAAACCCTTAAACATTAAAAAAACAATACTCGATTACTTTCCGGTCATTAATAAACAAAAAAAACCAAAAATACCGAACTCAGAACTTCCGAATTTATATTCCGATAACTTAGATACAAATTACACTGTAAATGAAAATATTTTTTTTCGTGAATAATACATTGACTATATTTCATCAAAACATTGCAGGATTTCTTAGTAAACGTGACCTCTTACAGATTTCGTTAAATGAATTAGCAGAAATATATAAAAAGGTAGACATAGTGTGTTTAAGTGAAACTTTTATTAAGAGTGGCACCGAAACTAATATTAGCCTGAATAAATTTGTTATTGGTGATTATTATTCACGACAATCAAAGAGGGGTGGTGTTTGTATCTTGTGTAATGATGAAATTGAACATAAACCTATTGCATTTGTCAAAAGTATGTCTAAGGAATTCATATTTGAATGCTGCGGCGTAGAATTAACGCAACACAAAATTATTGTTATTTGTATTTATAGAATTCCAAATAGTGATTTATCAAATCCTTACAATTTTTTGACTCATTTAGATATACTCATGACAAAATTACAACACAAAACAAATAAAAAAATTATAATAACAGGGGACTTCAATATTAATTTATTGAAAGATAATAAAGTAACTCAAGAACTCCACTCAATCATTCAAAATCATAATTTTTTCATACACATAAACAAACCTACCAGAAGGGAATCGTGCCTAGATTTAATTCTAAGTAATATTCCTGAAGCAATAGGAGAGTTACACGAACTCGGTCTATCAGATCATAATACAGCTCAAAC